GAACATTGCATTTTGACCTCGACAATTCATCACTTTGCATATTCTCTTGTTTTTCTTTTCTTTTCCTTTCTGTTTCTGTCTCACTAGTGAGCACACGATTGGGTATTTCGGCATGGGGCACATGTAACTTAGATTAATTAGACCGCGTACCTTGATTCCAGTAACCACTCTTGCGGGACTTTTAATGGTCAACAGTATACCAGGTACGGAGTACAACAATACAAGTTAGATACCAAGCTGGCTTTTCCACTATGTGAAGTCCATGATTCTACAGGACCGTCGTGGACTTGGCATCGATGATGTGACGAAAACGAATGTGCAACATAGACATTGCTTTTGCCATTCTGACGGTTGAAAGCTGCACAGGGTTTCCTGGTTCGGGCCCCCCTTGTTATCGTGGCCTCGGCAGCCTTGCATCATGGCGATGCCGTAATCATATTAGGGGTGAATCAGAGTCTCTACAGCCTAGCACGCCGGCTATTGGGATGAAAGAGTATTTATTGTTTTACGGAATTAACAAGCTAATTAACCTGATGGCGTCTCAAGTCTCCAATAGTATAGTACATGGCCTCAATTTCTTTTTGTTTTGCTTTTTTTTTTTTTTTTTTTACCAGCGTCCAGCGTCCTCGTCATCTGCTGGTTCCTTTGCGTCACCACCCGTCTGAGCTCTCCAACACCTACCTGTCCATTGTTGTGATTATAAAATTCGGGGCGACCTGTGACAAACTCGCAGCGCATCCATTGCCTTATCGAGCATAGGGGTGATATCCCCGGCTTCCACCACGACCGCCGCCGCGATAGTTTGCTCCTGGGCGACCTGCATTCTTGGGACCCGTGGGAGCATTCAATGGTGCGGCGCCGCCGTGTCCACCGTCCGAAGAGCCGTGTCCGCCACGACGATATCCTCCGGCGTCAGGCTGCGGGACGTCGTCATACATGCCTTCCCAGGAAGTTGGACCGCCTCCGCCTCCTCCTCCACGGCCACCGCCCATTCCATAACCACCTCCTCTACCGCCTCGCCTGCCGCCAGATGGGCCACTGGGCGGTGGTTGGCTGAACTGGCCGTAGCCGCCTTGGTCTGATTGCGTTGGCGAGCCCGGCCCTTGTTGCGGTTGTTGCTGCTGGTTCTGTTGTTGCATCATTTGTTGCTGCATCTGCTGCTGCATCTGCTGCATCATCTGAGGGTTCATGTTGCCCATCATGTTCTGAGGGTTTCCGCCGCCTCGGCCCATCATCTGTTGCATCTGCTGCATCTGCATCATTTGTTGCCACATGGCTGGATTCATGTTCATGCCTCGGTTCATGGCCATTTGGCCGGTGAACATGGCAAAGTACTGCTGCATTCGTTGGAAATACTGTGCCATGACCTGCGGCGTGATGCCACTATTGCCCATTTGCTGGCCCATGCCCTGTCCGCCAGATTGGTCGTCCTTCTTGAACTTGCTACGCTTGGCAGCCTCTTCCTCCTCACGAAGATTGCCTCGCGGCTGTGCCCGCTTCACTTCGACAGGTTTGCCATGAATCTCGAGAGGTACGTTGATACAAGCCTCGACGCCGGCCTCGCTTTCGAACGTCACGAAACCAAACCCTCTAGGACGCCCCGTATCCTTGTCCATCATGAGCGTGGCGTCGACAACTCGTCCGAATTGCGCAAAGTAGTCCCGGAACTCTTGATCTGTGGTCTCTTGGCTGACTCCTCCGACAAAGATTTTGCTCGTCTTTTCCTGCTCATCTCTTGGGATGGCTCTCTTGGGGTCAATCTGGAGTGGTTCCGTTAGGGGATATTCGCAACATACGGAGCATACGTAGACTAATGTAAAAACTTACAATCTTGCCGTCCAAAAAGTGCTCCTTGACCATGACAATATTCACAGTCTTGGCATCCTTGAACGTCAAAAAGCCAAATCCACGAGATCGTCCGGTGGTACTATCACGCATGACGGTACACTCGACAACTTCACCAAACTGTTCAAAGTACTCTCGAAGTGATTCTGGGCCGCCATGTTAGAACTCTCTCGCCGCTACAAAATGCTGCCCAAACACGGTACTCACGGTCCGTCGTCTCCCAATTCAGTCCACCAATAAACATTTTTCTAAGCACATAATCAGCCGGTTATCTTATACGTACAAAAGCATAGTACTATGCACATAAACAGTACGAGTGCAAAAGCAAAAAAGGAACGACAGACACCAGGGTCCATCAGAGCGGGCAGATAATGGTTCATGGCATGGTCGCTGGCCAATTTGGCCGCATATAACAAAGTACAGGCAGTCTCTGCATCAAGCTGGCGTGGTGAGCGGAGTATGGAGTGTAGTCGCATTCGAAAACCAGGATGCATGGAGCAGAATACCGTCCAGCAGAGATGTTGGCTCAAAACTTCAAGTCCGCGTAGTGAATTGGCCTGCCGGAGAAATCGCCAGCAACTGTCGAGCGCAGGCCCATCATGGCCAAGCCAAGATAAGAAGAACGACGGAGAAATTCATAGCAATAAAACTCGATTGCCGGCCACGGGAGAGGTGAGGAGAGGTGGCAGTAAAGGCGGAGCCAGTGTCGCAGCGTAACGCACGACAAAAGCAGCCAACACGACGACTAGGCCACGGAATGCCAGCATGTAATGCCCCAAAGTTATATCCTTTGTGTCGATTTTGTCTTTTTTTTTCTGTCCTGCTTCTGTCTGCTTTCGAATTGTGCTATCGTCTGGCTTTCTCTGCTCTGCTCTGTACTGTCTGGCTCATACTGACTGTCTCATGCTAGTTATGCTCTAACCTTGAGCGCTAGTCGCTGTGAATCTAGCTGCTACAGCTTTCGAAGGTGTACGAAACTCGCATCAAGGAGTCCCAGATTCCCGTTGTTGATGGCTATAGAAGACAGGATGGTTGTCCTGAGATAGACTAGAGTCGGCTGCTTCTGCTTCGATCATCTCCATAGGAAGCGAAATACACTCCAGTGTCTTTGGTTTGTTTTCTCTTTCCGCAATTTCGCAATACTCTTTTTCTCTGCCCTTTTGTAGACCATCATACGCCTTGTTGTACCGTGGTGTCCAACCCACGAGTCGTGACACTCGGCACCAGTCATACTTCCGAGACCAGAATGAAGCTCCCCAGATAAGGACGTGGAGAATATTTCTTGAGATATCTGCCAAACCAGCTAGTTTTCCCAGTGTCTATATTCCCATCCGAATGAAGCCGCCCGCTCAAGCCTGTGCAGAGAAAACAGGCGTCCATCCAGCATGTACCAGCCCGACCAATTTTGCCAATGGCCTCCATCTGACCAGAACCACCAGCAGCCATGGAGACGGGCTATAGGGTCAGGGGTATGGAGCGTGGTGGGATTTACAAAAAAAGATTCACGTGCACATAAGGTGTATCGAGACTTACCCGTCATCCTTGGCGCTTGCCTTGTGAACAGTTCCATACGGAGGTGTCGACGAGCCAGGATCCTGGTGAGGAGCAGCAACGGCATTACTAGAGCCGCCTCCAAGGTTAAAGTCAACGTCGTCGTCATCTTCTTCATCTCCGCCGTCATGATGCATCTCTTCATCGTCGTTTGCAGCATCACTCGGCCTCGGTGCCGAGTTTTGCTGGTCGTTGGTTGGCGGTTCCGCTACAGGTACTGGGGCAGGAGGAGGCTTTGCGGCTGCGTCGTTATCATCGTAACTGAAATCCAAAGTTAGTGAACAAAGCGCTCTCAGAGTGTGGTCTGTATTGTGGGTCGCCCATACAGATCAGCAAAGAGGTCCTCTTCGAAATTCTCGGGCTCCGTCATGTTCGTGATGTTCAAATGTCAAAGGTCAAATAAGAGCTTCAGAACCGGGAGAGTCGAAGCACTTGCAAGACTTCTCTGGGTCAGGCTGGAATGCCAAATGCGACAAATGATGGCGAGATATTCAAATGACAGTAATGATTGACGTCCGCAGAGGGGTAGTAAAATGGCGAGACGCTCATCGACTCGCTACGAATCACTGGGCGATGGCGCGTGGTACGTTTGGTTGATGTTAGTCGATGTTGAACAAGGTTGAGTGAAAAGTTGATTGAGTTGGGAGAGGAAAGTGGTGCCTAGGAACAGCGGGGGGTTGCGGAGCTGCTAGGTTTGCTGACTAAGATGGTCGTGCCAGATTAGGCTTGGTGGCTCCAGCCTCTTTGTCCGGCACTCACTCAGTACGGAGTTGCGTACTCCGTACATGTAGGGCGACAATGCCGACGGCCGCAGGGTGACGGAGAGGGCTGGACGTTGGGCCGTTTGGCAGGTCGGACTGTCCCCCAAGGGCGAGCTGCAGTCCAGCAGACTGCATGGCTGGTGGGTTGAATATGATTTGTCACATGTGAACCGTAGTTTGCCAAGCGATTTTTCTTCGCCTTTACCATCAATGCCACGATTTGCGCAAGGACAGGCCCAAGTCGCGGGGTTCGTTTCAATTTGATCGATCCGGCCGGAGGATTCAATGTTATGTACAGCCGGTTGACTGCAGCGGCGGCGGCGGGGAACGGCCCACTAGTTTTCAGGAGCCAGAGCTTTGCTCCAGCACTCTCAGCGCCAACTGCAACAGCCAGACACTGGACATCTGGATCCACTCGGCCGCCTCTTGGTCGCCGTCAAAGTCACCAGACGGAGCGTCCGTGACAACGTCCAGAACGTCGCCCATCTCCAAGTCCTCGCGCAACGAGCCTCTCTCCCGGCCTCACCCGCGCAAGCCTCGCAGAATGAAGCGTCCATCTCCCTCTCTCGACCACCAACCGTGACTATGTGGTCGTCATCCGGCAGCGGCAAGAAGCCGCCAGCTGCAGTATGTTCCTCATCGCCCCTCATCGCAGTCGACGTTACCCATCCGTCATGTCGTGTCATATCATCATCGACGTCGGCATCAGGCAACATGCCCGCCCTTGTGCCCCGGTGCTAACAGCTCACCCAGCAGCCGCAGGAAATGGTCCAGGTCGGTATGTAGCCCAATCCGTTCCATCTTGTCCTTCCGATCCTCGATTCGTTTGCAATTGTCCAACTAATGCCTTCGAGCACAGACCGCTCCGAGTGCGTTTCCCCGACGTCTTTCCGTCTATTCTGGCAGCAAAGACCAGACACTCACGATAGTTGCAGATCAGCCTCCCCCTTCTGGCGGCCCCCGGTTCGAGAACATGCTCCTAAGCGAAATGTGACGACGCCTGCAGGTCGCGACCCCAACTTCGTCGTTGGCGCAGCATATTCGCATGCCGATATGCTCAAGTTCGACTCATTGTACGTGCCTTGCCCGCGGACGGGAAACAGATGGATTCCCAATCCCTATTACAAGCCCCGACACGACATTCTAACCTGCTTGCTTGTTTAGAAGCCTCTCTGGCAACCGACCCAAGACACCTCCTTCCACTTCTGCCACAAAGGGCGGCCGCTTAAGTGAAGCGACCCCTCCAACCCGAGGGTCAACCGGCGTCGCCAGCTCCCCACCGTTTAAAAGCTACATCAATTTTCTTTCCAACACCAACGATGACTGGAAAGCCGACGAAGATGATATGCTTGGGTACGATGACGACGATGGCGACGACTTTGGGCTGCCCAGCCTGTCCAACATGAAGAGACGGTCCAGGAGGATGGCGACGCAAAACAAAGCCAACACCGGACCTCTATCACCAGCATTGGATGGGACGTTTGGTCTAGGGGCAAGGCTCCATTCGGATAGTGCCGACATTGCCGTCGAGCGACCATCCCTGACATATCCAATGCCGAAAAAGAGCGAGGGCAAGATCCTCCGCCCGCAATATAAAGATATTCTCCAAGGTACTCATCCGCCCTTTTCCACATGACAAAAGAAACTCGCTCTAATCAGAGGAGGGGGGAATGGTAGATCCCGCCAATGCCTTGCACCTCATCAATTACCCCTCCATCCCAACCAACGCAACCCCCAAAGAAGCCGACGCCATCAACTCTCGAATCACCAGAATCAACAAGTTCAAGAAACTCCTCCAAGCGTCCTCCATATCACTACCCGATCTCCGAGCGCTAGCCTGGTCAGGCGTCCCCGAGGAAGTGCGCTCCATGACGTGGCAGCTCCTCCTCAGCTACCTGCCGACCAACAGCGAAAGAAGAGTGGCAACGCTTGAGCGCAAGCGCAAAGAATACGTCGACGGCGTGCGGCAGGCCTTTGAACGGGTCGGCACCAACGCAGCCTCGGCCAGCCGAGCAAGAGGCCTGGACGAAGCCATCTGGCACCAAATCAGCATCGACATTCCGCGGACAAACCCGCACATCGAGCTCTACAGCTACGAGGCCACGCAGCGCTCCCTCGAGCGCATCCTGTACCTCTGGGCCGTGCGCCACCCAGCAAGCGGCTACGTCCAGGGCATAAACGACCTCGTCACACCCTTCTTCCAGGTCTTCCTCGGCCTGTACATTGCCGACCCGAACATCGAGGCCGGCATGGACCCGGGTCAGCTGCCCAAGTCGGTGCTCGACGCCGTCGAAGCCGACTCCTTCTGGTGCCTCACCAAGCTCCTCGACGGCATCCAAGACCACTACATTGTCGCACAGCCCGGCATCCAGCGCCAGGTCGGCGCGTTGCGCGACCTCACCGCCCGCATCGACGCCACCCTCTCCAAGCACCTCGAGCACGAGGGCGTCGAGTTCATCCAATTCAGCTTCCGCTGGATGAACTGCCTCCTCATGCGTGAAATAAGCGTCAAGAACATTATCCGCATGTGGGACACCTATCTCGTACGTCCTTCTTTCATTTTCTTCTTCTTTTTTTGACTCTTCCCCTTCCCGTTGGCACCCAAATTTCACCATATAACTGACACACGCAAAAAAGGCCGAGGAGCAGGGCTTCTCCGAATTCCACCTGTACGTCTGCGCCGCCCTCCTTGTCAAGTGGTCCGACAGGCTGGTCAAGATGGACTTTCAGGAAATCATGATGTTCCTCCAGTCGCTGCCCACCAAGACGTGGACCGAAAAGGACATTGAGCTGCTGCTCAGCGAAGCCTTTATCTGGCAGAGCCTGTACAAGGGGTCTGCGGCGCACCTGAAGGGCGGGCCTAGCAAGCCCCTGCTGGCGAACCTGCAACTCTAATTTGACATTTGGAAACGGACGAAAGAAAATGGCTGGTTTGCGTGCATCCATCGTGGGCATGACGTGGCGCGGATATAAAGCATAATATACAGGTTACGAGCATAGCATCAGTGGTTTTGTTTGTTTTTATACAATAGTTACAAGGAATCACATGAATTCATTCCGCCGACCTATCTATCTACTTCGTTGGCCCTCCCGTCGTACCTGAATAGGGGCAAGTTCTCATTGCTACCCAGAACCAGTTTCAATCCAAAACCCCCAAAAAAAACCAGGTATTCAAACCCTCCCTTGTGCCGTCAGGGACCCCACACACACACAATGTACAATGAAGGTAAAAGGAGAAAGCCTACACGAGTCCGTCAAAACGCCAGCCCGTATGCTCTCGCATCATTAACGCAATTATGGGTATTATTAGAAAGGCGTCTCCAGAACGGAACACACACACAAAAAAAAGAGAGAAAAGATAGATGGATGAAAAAAGGAGAGAGAATTTAGGCATGCCAGACATGCGTCTGCTTGCTAGCCTTCTTCGGCCTCAAGTCGTCGACGTAACCGAGCGTGTGTCTATTCTCGTCACACACCCTCGCCCACTCGAGAAGTAGTCGCCACACGTACAGGCCCATGTCTTCTCTGCGGAGGACCCTCTCCGACCACGACTGGCCCTGCTCGGCGATGAAGCGGGCAGCAGCGTCCCCGGACCCGTTGGCGTCCGAGAAGAAGTCGAGGAGGGGGTACAGATCCTGGAAGGTGTTGTCAAAGGGGACAAAGTGCACCCAGGGGATGAGGCGGTCGTCGTGCCACTCTGCGTAGATGGTGGCTTTGAGCGGCAGGCTCGTGGAGCGGAGGAAGCCGCGGAACCGGGCGGAGAAGGAGTTGCCGTCGACGTCGGGCAGGAATTTGTACAGGTATTGCTGCTTCATGGGGAGGTGTTGCAGCACGGTGAAGGTGTCGTTGTAAAAGGGGCATTCGGCGGGTGGGCACAGCTTGACGAACCCCGTGTCGGCAATCTCGTCGGCAAGGGGGCCCAGGTTGCCGCGGTGAAGGCGCGGGCTGGGGTAGATGGTCTCCGGGGGAAGCTCAAACGTCTTGGCCCGGACGCCCGACTCTTCGACCTGCGATACGACTGTGCCGTTGAGCATTTGAACGAGACGCTGACGCTGAAAGTGGTGCCAGTTGTGCTCTCTGGCGCGGCCGCCTGAGCCCTCGCCGCGCCAGACGGCGGCGTTCTTCTTTCGGTCCCACGACGGCCCGTGTGACTCGCCGCCGGAGTAGAACTCTCCCTGGTCGAGGTACATGGCTCCCGGGATGAGAATTTCATTGTTGGTAGGGAGCTTGGAACCGCCAAACAAGGGGATGAGTTCTTCTGTGGAGGACAGACTGATGGGTTCGATGAAGCTGCCGTGTAGTTGGCGCAGATGCGGTTGCAGGCAGGGGTCTGAGGAGGCGGTGAAATTCTGAATATAGCCTTTGTGGGCGTAATCCGGTCTATAGTTTTGCGGAAACTCGGCCGGTCCAGACATGTCTTGGACTTGCTGGACGCCAAAGGCTGGGGTGTCGGGGCCACAGGTCTTGACAAACAAGTTCCAATACTGCTCGCTGGGGCCGTGCCAGTGAGGATCGTAGGGATCGGGTATGGCAGCATCAACGGCGGCAAGGCCGTGGAACTTGGAGCTGGCTTTGTTTGGGTCAACGATGCGTCTCTCTTTGCGTTCCTCCGCCACGAGCTTCGCAATGGTGTCGTGGGGCACGAGGAGTCTCGATTCGTCCATGTAGTTGATGGGCATGTCGACGTCGGGCAAGTACTTGGCAAAGTCGGCAACGAGAGCAGTCCAAAGCTGCAACCAGGGCACACGGTCGGTGACGTCGCCATGGCCGGCGGCGGTGCCATTGCGGACTTTGACGACGTGGTGCCAGGCACTGGCTCGCTTCTTGGTCTGTTCGGGATCGAGAGCCCAAAAGGGCGTCAGGTCCTTGTATATCCTGTCAAAGTAGTCTTCGACGATGATGGCATCGATGTCCACGGCAGCGTGGAACCACATGTCAAAGCCGGGGGGCGGGTGACGTCCTCGTCGCTTGCGATATTGCTGCGCAGCAGAGTCGAGGGTGAGGGACCGTTTGGCAAGGAGGGCATCGTGACGGGCCTTGGCATCGACCATGAGCTTTCGAACAGGATGCTTGGTTCCCAGCTTGTTGATGGTTTTGCGGGGGATCTGGATCTGAGCATCCCAAAACTTGACATCGTGCCAGAGCGCATAGCTGGCGAGGAAGAAAAAGGTGAGGAAAACGAGGGTGATGTAGCGCAGGGCCAGGCGCGACGACCACTGGCGGAGGCTCCAGCCCTTGCAAACCTTCAGCAAGGCCATGTCGGGCGTCGGGCGTCGGGCGTCTGGCGTCTGGCGTCTGGCGATCAGGGTCTGGTGTTGGGCATTGGGCATGAGACGGAGGACGTGCGCTGCGGGAGAGCGAGAGCAAGGACGAGATGAGGACGAGCACGGATTACGATCAGGTCATGCACCCGCCGAGGAAATTGCAAGTGTGGGAGTCTGCGTGCCGCTGCTTTCGTCGGTGGCGTGCGAGCAAACGACGGGAGAAGCCACGCGAGGAAGGGCAGGATCGGGATTGGGGTCTTCAGCAAAAGATACAGACGCCGTTTTGTCAGGGGATGGACTGAATGGGCAGGATGGCGTCCTGGAGGCGCAAAAGACGGCACGCAAATGGGTTCACTGTTCAATGCTCCTCTGGTGGCGGCCGGAACAAGGGGCAGGGCCAGAAGGGGAGAGACTGCCAGCGACAAGGCGGAGGACTGGACATTCTCACCATTGGGACGCAAAAAACGTCCGGTAGGATTGACGCATCCTGAGCAAAGTTCCATTCCAACTGTATAATGAAGCATGTTAATTGGCGCAACCCACCAAGAGGATTGGTGTGCCTGCAGGCCACGTCTGCAAGCGTCATCTAGCCTCCGCGTCTCGCTGCCTCTCCGTCTCCATCCTTGACTCGCCCACGCGGGGTCGCGCCAAGGGGCCGCGCCAAGGGGCCTCGTCGTTAATCAATACGGACTATCGAGTTCCAAACATAACCGGCCGCTGCTAGTTCGTATGACGCCACCTCGGGAGCCATCAGCTAAAAAAGTATAGAAGCTTAAAAATGCTAGTGTCAGGCTGGAAGAATACCGAGTGCCTGTACAACACAGGTACAGCTGCGCGGACTCAGGAATATCTGGTGCTACATCGTCGTGCCTCGTGCTTTCGTGTTAAAGTAAACCTCGTGTGACGCCCGACGTTTCACTTGGACGGCAAGTCAGCATTGTATTCTCCTAGGGCTGTTTGCCTGTTTGCCTGTTTGCCTGTTTGCCTGCCAAGTTAAATTCTCAAGTCGCCATTGGAATACTCACCCAAAGCATTTATGCTTGCTTGTGCCACACCCTTCCTTCTCACATGGGACAACCACAATTCCTTCATAATGCCGTGAACATGCCAAACTACAAACCATGCATAAAAGAAAATAATCAAATTCCCTTCCATCTGTATTTTATATTTCATCATTTCTTAATATCTATATCTTGTCTCGTAAACAAATCGAAGCCAACAAGATCCACTCAAAACCATCGTCCTCCCTACAGGGTAGCCAGGTAGCAGCTCGCCCGGCCCACCCGGCTAAACCTCGCACCCACACCCACCTCAACCAATCACAACGCCCCCAATTCCCATCAATGAGGCAAACCCACATCTTCGCCATCCCGACGGCAATCTCAACGTCCAAAAGACCATCACGCCTCCTCCGTCTTTCAACTTTGCCCCTGCTCGACGGTCCTCCATCTCCTCTCCCATCCGCGCGTAGAAGCCATCACCTACGCTACCCGTGGAGATGCTCTCGTCATCGCGATCCGCGGCCTCAATGGCCCTGCGAGGCACGTCCCGAACCTCCCCCGTCGACTCCGAAATTTCCCTCTGCCCGGCACCTCTCACCAATTGCAACATCAATACACCACACGAACCCCCATATACACAAAAACCAAAAAGCTAACATTTCCCGAAAACACAGTCAAGCCGACGACAGCACTCATTCCCTTCCGCGCGGCAGCCGCCCTGCCCATCACCCACCGCCGAGACGCAAGCTCCCTGACCCCCCACGGCGCGGGATCAAGCCTCGCCAAACCTCGCAAGGAAGTCCTTCTCCCCAGCGAAGAAGGCACCAAAGGCGTCGTCCAATACGCCCTGTACGCCCTCCACTCTCCTCCAACTCCCACCCCCTTCCTCATCTGACACTCAGCCCAGGACCACGCTCGATGTCATCGCCAACTGGGCGCGGCAGTCGTCCCTCTGGCCCATGACTTTCGGCCTGGCCTGCTGCGCCGTCGAAATGATGCACCTCTCCACGCCGCGATACGACCAGGACCGCCTGGGCATCATCTTTCGCGCGTCCCCCCGCCAGTCCGACGTCATGATTGTCGCCGGCACCCTCACCAACAAGATGGCCCCCGCTCTGCGCCAGGTCTACGACCAGATGCCCGACCCGCGATGGGTCATCTCCATGGGAAGCTGCGCCAACGGCGGCGGCTACTACCACTACAGCTACAGCGTCGTCCGGGGCTGCGACCGCATCGTCCCCGTCGACATTTACGTCCCCGGCTGCCCGCCCACCAGCGAGGCCCTCATGTACGGCATCTTCCAGCTGCAGAGGAAGATGCGCAACACCAAGATCACGCGCATGTGGTACAGGAGGTAAAAGGTGAGGGTGCTGTTGCCCAAGGAAGGGGGCCGGGGGCGGGGAAAGAGTTGAAATTTTCCTTCCAAGCGTGGCGTGTAGCTGTTATGGGGCGTGTTGAAGACCCAAGAAGGAAAAAAACAAAACAAAACTGCACATAGTATGCTAGGCTGGACTTGAGGGAAGCAGGTCCAGGATACGGCATTCCGTTTTCCCTTTGTTCTTTATCAGGTGTACACGGGACAGCACGGCAAAGATAGAGACCCTACAATACGAATTTGTACAACACGCACGGTAGCGTTTTTGCCAATTCCGCCGCGTCACGTTTGAATCTTGACACCACGGCCATTCTCTTACGCCTACTGCTGGGCAATGAAACACCATGTAATTATATCGTATTGTACGCTGCCTGGATAGCACCGCTGCGGCCGAATAATATGCACTAGCCCACCCCATGCTTTAACCCCGACAGAGGATTCATGACACAGACACTCTCACTCTCCCGACGACTGATGATGACTCGCCCACCCGCACACTATATCAATCTTTATACTCTAGGCCCGCGCCGTCCGTGGCCGTCTGTTCCTGCTGAGACGGGATTCGACGTCACTCACGACGCGCAAACAATCTACTTCACTGCCGCCTCTTTGCTTCATACGTCGGTGGTGATTTGCAAAATAATGTATGCTTCGTGCTGCTCCGCTCTGCTTCCTGCGTGTCCCGATGACAATTGAACCCGCCAGCGCCATGAACGACCCATGTTGAACAAGCTATTCTTTTTCAAACAAAAGACAACATGAATAACCAAAAGTGGGAAAAAGAAAAAGAAAACAACAATCATGCCCAATAAAAAAAAAATAGTGGTCATCAGGGAATGTGGGAAGAGGACTAGGGAAGCTATATGCGAGATGGGGAAGAGGAGACTGTGGATACAACACATGAGTCCGGAATGGCGTTCAATAGGGGGGCCGAAAAGACGCAACGCAAAACATCGCTAGTTCACATATTCTTGCTCATCTTACTCTTGTCCGAATCCCATGGTCTCCTCCACTGCTATTGTAAGTTTGTTTTGCAATGTGTCCATAGATTTGTAAGGGGGCAAATCGATGCGGTTGAAGCTGGTGATGTTTAGTCAGCAATAATCCATATCCAGGAAAAAAAGGCTAGAAAAAAAAAGCTACGGGTTGATTGCATACCAGGTGTGTGCCTTGGGAAGGTTGGTGAGCTCTCCCGTCTTCTCAATGGTGAATCGTCTCGGTCCGTCACTTCCCTGAAGATCCTTGAAGCCGTTGACGGGGATTCGAGAAGTTCCGGTAGTGAACTGCAAAAGACGCGATTTTTGTTCTCCGTCCCATGACCTGACCACCTGCCAGAAGTTCTGAATAACCTCATCTGACTCGGTGTATCCTCTGTAGTCCGTATGCTTCTTCCAGTCGTCCACATCAATTTCGGCGATACCGCCAATGAGCAACTCGAGTTCACGCTCATCAAATACATTAATGAGGTCCTGGGGAATGAGTTCGTGGAAGCCTTCCTTGAAAGCCTGGAACTGCTCCGCGATACGCTTCTCAATTCGCCACTTTACCATGAGATCCACATACTCCTTCTTGTTCTCGTTGGTGACTTCGATGTTGCGGCCGTTGGGGATCAAGTCCTCGGTGGTCATAACACCAAATCGCTCATCTTCGGTAGAGAAAGTCTGCTCCAGAATTCCGCCAGATATGTCATTATCCAGCATCCACTGCAGGGACCGATGAAAGTCGGCATCAACACCCTCCATGTCAGCAAGAGAGACTGCCTTGCCCAGCACCATTTTGTACAGAGCTCCGATAAAGAAGGCATCCAGGAATCGTCGATGGAAAATAGCCAAACCAACTACCCGTCCGATAAACTTGAAGTAGTTCAGGTGTTCTGGGTTAATGCCTGAGTGCGGGTTAATCTGCAGGGTGTAGTTGTCGTGCGCAGAGTACTCGAACAGGCAGTAGAACGGGTTGAACATCTCGTGAGACAATAGGAAGAAGAACTCTCGAGACAAACCACCGTAATCCAAACCATCTTCTCCGTCAAATTTTATCATCAAGCGCTTCTTCAAATCAGTGGCGGACTGACGCGTAATTTCGGCAAACGAATCTTCGAAAATATGCTCACGCCTGACTTTGATGTGGCATTGGCCGCTGAGGATGCGCATGGCAGGCTGAGATCGGAAGTAGATGAGCTTGCGTCTGAAATCTCGCTTGTATTGAGGAACATTCTGATCCAGGGATGATGGCAGACGAGGGTCATCCCACGTGGTAGTCTTAGTATTGTGATCGACGAAATACACTCGGGCAGTGTTGGTGAGCCGCATTTCCCACCCACTAGGCAGGGGCCCGAGCTGTGAGACTGGTTGCTGTTGAATCTGGCCATTGGTGTTATTTTGGCCGCCATACATGCGAATGTACTGTTGACGGCGCGGATCAACCCAGGTAGTCGTTCTGGTATTGTGGTCGACAAAGTAGGGACGGCCCTCTGGCGTCCATCTTTGTTCCCAGCCTGGTGGCAGCTCACCGGTGCCAGGACTGGTTGCACCAGTGTGCATTACCGTTGTGCTGGCATTGGTTTGGGAAGGGCTGCCGGGACCAGTCGGGCTGCCGCCTCCTGATTGGGAGCCACCCTGCTGCTGCTGCTGCGACAGAGTTGGCGAGCTAGTGCCTGTCCGGTCTTCGGGCAGCGTACGGTTCTGATGCCGCTGTCGTTCGACTGCTGTGGCAGCTTCTCGCTCTCGGGTCTCTGCGCCGCCGTTGGCTGTTGGGCGATTCCAGCTAGTTGTGCGCGTATTGTGGTCAACGTAGTAGGTTCGGCCCAGATTATCTTCTCGTCTTTCCCAGCCAGCGGGAAGTCGACCCTGGTTGTCCTCGAAGGGGCTCAATTGGCTGGTTGGCCGTGACGAAGTCGTGCCGTTGACTCCCGGAGCAGGCGTAGAGCTTGAGCTGACAAGGGGTGGGTGATGAGGCAAGGTCATTTGAGGCCCCCCAGGAGGAACGCCATTCTGGTTCGACATGGATGAGCTTGGTCTTCCATCGGGAGCGGAGAGTGCGGAAGAGCTGGATGCACCCGGAACAGATAGGGCCGGTCGACTGCTGGAAGCCTGACCCCCGCGTGCGGGCGTGCTGAGGTTACATGAAAGGTTGATGATGAGTTTTCCGTGGACCACAAGGTTATCTGTCGACTTCTTGAGGTCTCTCGTAAGCATCTGGTCTGATGCAAAACGTTAGTTAGTAGCTGTTTTCGCCTCTCACAAGACGAAGCATAACTCCGAGACAAATGAGACGTACCATCAGAGTCGGGGCTAAGATCTGGCATCACATCTCCAACTCTAATGTTGATGACACCAAGGAAGCCTTGGTCCTTCTTCTTGAATTTCTTTTGATCAAAGACTTGTACTGCCAGGATGCTGCCTTCATTTGCTCGACTGTAATATTATTGGTGAGATTCAGGGTTGGAAACGGGAAATTTTTACACTCATGGCAACAGCCAAGAGAGAGAAAGGAGGGGGTATGTGCGTACAAGTCGAAGCTTTCGTTCCAATAGGGATTCAGCGTCCGTTTGCTGACGGTGGTGGTCTTTGTTTGTTCGCCATTGATGGTGGCCACAGCAAATGGGTCGGGAAATCCTGTTGCTGGTTAGGAAGGGTGTTTCGGGAGTAGAGCGGCGCGAGCATCATCTGAGCATCACATGGTGATAAATGGCGGGGACGTACTAAACACATCTCTTTTATACAAGCCATCTGCGGCAATGACTGTTCCGGGTCATGTCAGTAACTGGTGTTTGGCGGGAGTCGACATGTGCGGAGGGCGAGGCAGATGAGGGGTGTGAAGGACATACTTGTGACGCGAAGATTGGGCTTGCTAGACGGGCTGTCAGCTCATGATTCTGGCGTCTTGATTGATTTCGCTTGCGCCGAACAATGCGTGGCCAAGGAGAGACTCGAGGGGTGCGTGTACTGACCTTGGAAGCCCCGACTCTGTGCGGGCACTCATTGTCGTCGAGGCGTTGCTGGCGAGAGAGGCGTTGGGATGCGTGTAGGAGCGCCCGTTGAGACAGAGAGGCCGAAGCAATTCGTAGAAGACGTCGTTGGCCAAAGGGCGACGGACGGGGTCCCCACAAAGGGGTGGTGGTTGCTAATGACGGCGTCGAGGGTGCGAGTGACGACGACTTTGCTCACAGCAAGCACCTTAAAGCTGGAGAGGTTGAGGCAGTGCAGCGTGGCAGCAACGGCTCGGAGGATGTCTGGCCTGGCGTTGGCGTCGGCGGCTGGGCGTCTGGTCGCTCAGCAAGACTTGACGCTGAGACTGGCCCCCGCTTCAACGATCAATGGCCAGCGTCCCTGTCGAGTCACTCCGGGCCAGCGCGGGCCAGGCGATAAGCAGCACGTGACCGACCTGATGGCGGGGCCTCTGGCGGGGGGTTTACTTTGGACTCTGGAGGCACCGAGTCCCCAAGACATGAAACAAAGCAGCAACAACTGAGCTGACCTGAGCTGATCCGAGCTGGGCTGCAAAGGAAGACGCTGTGTTGCCGATAAGCAAGCCAGCGACTTGGCAATGCAGAGTTGAGACAAGCGACGTGATTACAAAGGACGACGCGGCAGATGGGACGGGAGGCGGCATGCAGAGAGGAAGATTCGGGAGAGTGAGTGGCCAAGTTGCCAGACAGGTCAACACAAAGCAAGACGTCTGGGGTGAAGCACAACAGGCCACAGCCACACGTTGTACCAGACACCAGACACCAGACAGCAGTCAGGTTCCATGTCCATGTCCCGATGTCCGCTACCCGCCACCCGTCCGTCGTCACCTACTGGCGGGGCGGTGCGGGGCTTGGCTGCCCTGCGCCCTTCAGCGTTGGACCTGGAGATGCTACGGAGCCAAGTAGCACCAGACTCGAGTATCGAGACATGGAAACATGCCGGCATTGCTCAGCATGTGCTCAGCAATGTTTCCAGCATCAATCCACACACCGGCCCGCTGCCGCACGAATTGCTTTCTAATCACCTCGCGCCTTGCGCCATGGGCAATTACTGATTCTCGCGTCATCCGCCGCCAACTGCAGCAACATGACCTGCAACACCTCAGCCTTGGCAACTCCCCAATCCGCGACTCTTCCGGAAACCCGGAAACCGGGGAGGGTCTCCGGATGGCGGAGCCAAGTTGGAGATGCCATCGTATGGCATCAACTTTCCATGTGTACTCCGTACTCGGTGCACCTTGGGGCGTAGCGGCGGCAGAGCGTTTCGTCCAAAGTTCAAAGAGTGACACAAGAAGCAAAAGAAGGTGCCCACGATTCGCGGCAATACTTTCGCGTTACCATTCCCAATCCGTACGAGCGGGGACAATCTGTAACCAAGGGCTATTCATGGCGGCCTAGGCATCCATGGCAAAGGTACCCGGGGGCCTCCAACCAAGTTGTGCGACTTTGTGAGACTTTGTGAGACCTTGTAAGACCCAGGACCTCGGGTGGGCTCCCGATCTCGCATCAACCTCAGTTCATGTCAAGCGCTGCCGCCTGGTAGTAACCGTAACTGTCAAGTAAATGGGATAATTGACCAGTTATATATTCCTCTACGCACATTCGTGGACTACCTTGCCCGCATCGTTTTGGAAAGACAGCACAGGACAGCATGACGAAAACATGATGGTGAAACAAGATAAAAATTAAAAAGGGCACCGACTATAAAAAAAAACATAAACACCTCTCTACAATTGCACTAGCATCACAAGATAAATCAACCCCCGTCAGCCGCAGCCGCAGCCGGCAGCCGGAACGCAAATCATCAACCCGGCGCTCCGCACAAGTGCCGCCGTCCACATCACCACCAACTCCCACGATTTTTTCCTTTTTTTCTTTTTTTTCCTTTTTTAAAAGCACAACCGCCAACAAGAACCCGTCGACAAACTCGCTCTCGCAGTCCCACTTCCTCACCGAAACAGTCGGCACCAAGGCCGCGCGCACCCTCTCGTCCCGCCCAACCCTCGCCACCAAGCTCCCCTCGCGCGTGACGCCGTCCTCGCCGTCCTCGACCATGCTCTGCACCGCGTTGTCGACGTAGATCGCGCCGCCGCGCCGCGTCAGCCGCACCGCCCAGTCAAAGTAGTCGGCCTGCCGGCCCCAGTCGGCGTCGACAAAGACGAGGTCGAAGACGCGCCCCTCGGCCGCCAGCCGCGGCAGCACGTCGAGCGCGTCGCCGAGCACCACCTCGGCGCCGTCCACCCCGGCCGCGCGCAGGTTCTCGAGCGCCACGTCGCGGTGCCGGGCGTCGACCTCGATGCTGGTCACGCGCGCCCCGGCCCGCGCGAACCACTGCGCCGAGTAGCCGCCCAGCGTGCCGACCTCGAGCACCGCCCGCGCCGAGACCAGCTGCGCCAGGAGCGAGAGGTGCTGCCCGTGCAGGGGGGTGATGCTGATCGGGGGCAGGCCGTGCCGCGCCGAGTTGGCCAGCGTGGCGGCGAGCTGGGTGTCGTCGCCGACGAGCCTGGTCTCGGCTGTGCTTTCGACGAGGGATAGGAGGGAGGGCGTGACGGTCGACATGGTTTTGTGGTTTGTGGTTTTGGCCAAACTGGCTATATATATATATATGTGTATATATACCTAGTATGTAATGTATATATATGGGTGTCTAATATGGGTGTAAGAGTGCGTATAAGTGTGTGTATATATGTATAAATATGTGTATTCTTTAGAATAACCTGTATTTTTTCTGCTTTTATACAAAACCGACAGGTCAGCACATATTCCCCCCGTCTTCTTTATACCTCGAGCACGACCGTCAGGCTCGAGGAGATATACACGGACTTACGAGCCGGCACCCATCCGGAGTAGCTGCGCCTTGCTAACCACACAGATCGACACTTCCCCAGCTGGGAACGAGTACGCACGTAGTAGTTTCTACAGAACGCTACTCGGGCTTTACACCTCGGACTTGTATCCCCACTTCGCCGGTCCCCACTTCGGCAAATTATCGCGGGACACCAGACTGCATCTGATAAGATCTTGGGGGAGGGACGCTGGTGTATCATCTATCGTGGGGATGGGCGACCGTGCTGCGGGTGAGTCATACGGCTGTGCGGGATGGCGGCATGTGGCATAGGTACATAAGCATACATCGGTGGAATTAGTCGGATTTAAATCTTTGGTCCGTGGTGGATGAGTTACGCTTCGTCTGGGCCGAGGAGAGTTGGGGGGGCCACAAGCTGGTGAGACTGCGAAGGTGGACCGATGAGAGAGAGTACGCGTTCCCATGTGTTGCTGGCAGATTCAGGCTCTACACTCTCCGCCGTCTGCATTCAAAACACAAATCGCATACAAGACTCGCTCTACTCTGTTGCGATATATCGTCTTCTCATCACACGGTGCAGGCCACATCTCACAGACGCATATCTAATATCAGGCACGGATAAAGTGACCGGCTAAGCTTGAATGTCTTTCTTTCTTTTCTTCTTTCGTGTTCAGCCAAATGCAGCAAATCATTCCAAATCAAATCATCCTTTAAACTCCAAGTCGTTGCCTTATCTGTTCCCCCCTCCTAGCGGCGCTGTTACTTTTACACGAACTGATTTCCCCCCTTTCCTTCTTGTCTGTATTATAGGTTTCCTTTCTTTCTGTCGGTGCGCCCCAGTCCCTGTGTAGTATGCCTACCTAGGGGACCATGATATCAAACCACTCTCAATTTCCGCCGGTGACCGCGTCAGCAAATCCATTATTAAATTCCTAATTCCTACCAACCCGTCAAAGATTGGACGCTCCACGTGATGGCATCCATGACCCGTCGTCACCAGCTGTCGGCCCAGGCGAAGAGTCGCTTCCCGGTCCCTAGTAAGGTGCGTGAGCTCCCCGGCCACGGCCCCTATAGCCGCCGCGGTAGCCACCACGAGGGAAACCACCCCGACCGTGGAATCCTCGACCTCCACGGAAGCCTCCTCGTCCACGACCTCGGCTCATGCCAGGAACGTTGGTGCGCTTGGGTGTGACCTTGATGTTGCGGCCCTTGAAGACGCTTTCGTTTAGGATGAGGGCCTGGGCGACCAGGCTGGGTTCTGTAAACTCAACATAGGCATATCTGCGTGCATGCCTTGGTCAGTACATCGGCTTGTTTTGGGGGGCAGTAAAATGAATGCTATGCCGGGGACACGCACCCCTTTGGCTGACCGGTAAACTTGTCCAAGAGAATAGTCACGCGGTTGATCGATCCACAGCTCTGGAAATGAGCCTGAATCTCCTCAGGAGAGGCAGAGTAGTCGACGTTTCCGACAAAGATGCTTCGCGCATCAACCGACTCCTTGTCATCTGCCAAATCAGCCGACTGCTGCTCCAAGGTGGCCTGCATCTCTCGCAGCTTCTTGGCCTCCTCCTCCATTTCAGCCACACGGCGCTTCATGGCCGTGATCTCTTCCTAGCGCAGGGTATATACCAGTCAGTTCTCCCTGCTTTTTTGTATCAAACAGATTCTTCTGTCGTCTTCATGTGGCCGGTGTTAATTTGCGCCGTGCAAGACACCCACCTCTTCACCCGCCGACACTTCCGTCTCCTGCTCGTGCTCAGCCGACTGAGCGGCAGGCTTGTCCTCCTTGTGGTTCGTGTTCGACATGATGTTCTCGCCCAAGGGGTTGTGGAAACTTGGCGTCCTTGAGATGGTTCCTAGCGGAGGGGAGAGGTGTTAGCACGAGCAAACTTGGCAAATTTTCACGTTTCGGCCCAGACACAAATCTCGCTCACAAGCCGTCCGTCACGAGCAGGACACAAGTTGCGCATAACAGCACAGCGAGACCAGAAAATCCAAGACGACCCGCGGGTTGGGATGCGTGGAGCGCGACGTACCGAGATTTGGGAAATTTTGCACTCGCCTCACACAGATGTAGCCCTCCCTGGAAGGAGACGTCGGTTGCCACAAGCAATGCGACAAGGAGAAGGGGGAGAGAAATGAGGGACAAGCAGCGGCTGCAACAAACAACAAACGAGGCTCGAGACACGATTTGCCAATGAAACTTTGCAAGTCTGACTGGCAGTGGGAGCTTTTAGACGCAGGGCCCACGGTTGCGCAGCATTCAACGTGGGGGGCCGGGGTTTATCCGCCGCCTGCATAATTCCGGGCGGCATCGACCCAATGCTTGCACTTGCACTTGCGCTTTGTGGCTGCATGGCTCTAGACTTGTCTCTGGCGACCTGCTTCGGTCCACCGGCCTCAGCATTTTCACGCCCATTACGGAGGTGCATGCCGCTCCTGATGTCATCCAAGCCATGGCCAGTCTAGATGTCGCAGGTGCTCCGTAGTAGTAACCTGGTAGTACTCCGTAGCTGTCGGCCAATGCAACATGCAAACCGCGCTAGGCCGTCTGTCAATCAACTAACCTTGAAGCCGTTCCACGTTCCATTGTCAACACAACACCGACCTCGAGTTCGCGAACCTCGACCGCTTGTCCTACAGCCATCACCACCACCACCACCTAAACAGTCCATGTATTGCCTACTGATCGCATAGCATCATCAATGCCCTTCTCATTCAGCTCCTGACCTTGGCAGCCCCCCCAAACGCCGTCACCATGTCCGACAACTCGCACTTTGACCATTCCGCCCCCCTCCTACCGCCGGGCCATCGCCCCTCACCGTCCATAACCCGACGCGCCCTCCGCCACGTCCACCACCTCCGCCGCAAAGGCAGAGTCCTCCTCGCGTCCCGCAAGAAGCACTTTCTCGTCATGTTCATCGTCATGCTTGACGTAATGGCGCTGCTGGCCAACGTCTTCATCCAGCTAATCGCCTGTGAAATGCATCAAAGCGACGAGGAGTGGGTGGTGCAAATAAGGGAAACCTTGGAGACGGCGGCTCTGGTGTTCAGCAGCTTGTTCATGGTTGAGTTGGCCGCTTGTTTGTTCTCATTTGGCCTAGAGTAGGTTTCATATCCTGCCCCTTTCCTCCCTTTGTTTCCATTGTCTGTTGCTGACAATGGCGGAAATGACAGATTTCTTGCTTCGTGGTTTCACGTCTTTGACTCTGCCGTTATTGTGGTGAGCTTTGTTATTGATATTGCTTCCCAGGGTCTTGCCGAGTCTATTGGTTCCCTTGTTGTGGTGCTGCGTTTGTGGAGACTGGCCAAGATATCCGAGGAAGTTGTCCTGGGCGCGACGGAAAGAATGGAAATGTTAGAGCAGCAGATAGAGGAGCTGGAGCATGAGAATACCGCCCTGAGGTTGCAGTTGGGTTTGGAATCCCACGAGCATTCCAGTCACGAGTAGCTGGCAAAAGTAGCAATTGAGTAATGAGACCACGATTGACGACAGAGACACGTTATAGAATGCATGCATATACCCTGCTGGGCGGTAATAGTTGTAGTATTTATCTTTTGAAAAAAAAAAAGGAGAAAAAAAATGAAACATGTCCATCTATGACAACCCTCGTTTCGTACAATGGTTCATTCAATAACATGATGGTATCCCGTGTATATACAGTGTCCTCGACCCCCGAAGAAAGAAAAAAACGCCGGCTGATGCTTTATGCTAGCTCCCATGTCCTATGTTGTCCTATGTGCATGACACTACCCAGTGTGACACCGAAATGCTATGCCTCATCTCTCATAATCTTTGGTCCTGACATGATCTCTGCTTACACGAAATTCATCAAGCATGCCGGCTGCGCTTTCCTCCATTTCCGAATGGGTCCTTTCCTCCTAGACAGCCTCCAAAAAAATCGTCAAAATCCCACCGACGTTTCGTTCCGGCTCCTTTGCCCAAATGCCCAGCCCCTCTCGGACCCGATTTCGAGTTGTGTCCGCCTATTCTTGACCTGGTGCCTCGGCTAGGAGGGTGGGACGACCCATCACGATCACGAGTTCGGGAATCCTCGAGGTCTAATGTGGCGATGTTTGGATAGGGGTGGGAAGACTGAAAGGAGAAGTTGTCTTGTGATGGTACAACAATGGCCATAGGTTCCTCGGGAACCGGCTCTGGAACCGAACAAGTGTTGGGAGTGGGCGAATCTCGTCGTTTAGTTACTGGCGGTTGAGGGTCAGGGTTCGTTCTTGTGATTTCGGGCGACGATGTTCTCTCTACTCGCTCGTTTTCGTCCTCGCTTTCGGTGGTTTGTGGCGCCGAGTCACGTCCGTCAAGGCGCTCCGTTGCCCATCTTCGTATCGACCACCCTTCTCCGTCTGTGAGGCCGATATTTGCCTTGTTCAGAAAGGAGAGGAGGTCATCAAGGCACTCCTGATAGCCGTCGACCCTGGCCCTAGATTCGACGAGAGCCGACGTCTTGTACAGTTTCGTTACGGAGAGGGCGGCTGCCTTGAAGACATCGAGGAGTTGCTCGGGAGTTTCGGTTTGTGAGACGTGCCTCCCGGTAGGGGCTTTGTTGGTGTCCATGGCGGCAGAGACACAAAAGAAAGTCAGACGAAATGTGGCTCTGCTATGGCGTACTGTGTTAACAAGGGTTCTTGAATCCTTTGGGGTTCGCGGCCAGATGCCGGGTTTACCTGTGCAAGTTGAATGTTTGTTCTGTACAGAGGCGCACGGTGATGTCGAACCGCAACCCCGCGGATGACTCGACAAAGGAATCCGACGGTCCCGGGCAGGACTCTACCAGATGTTTGGTCTGAGCCCGGCTGAACTTGTCGTATCGCCTGTGTTCTTCGGATGTTGTAGATTGCCGGATCCAACGCCCTTCCTCCTTCTGTGCAGCGGCGAGGGATGTGAATGTCAGCAGATTATTGTTGCTTTTCCGAAGTCTTTGCCAACAGAACCTGTGGTCATGGGGCTCTTAACGGCCGTGTGGGGCGGCGGACTGAGAACGGAACGGTTCAGGAACGAGCCGACACGTGACTTTGCCATGTTCAATCTCCAGATCAAAAAAACCTGGGCAATATTGTTGTGCACTATCAAAAAAAAAATAAAAATAAAAAAAAAATGAAAAGAACAAAGAAAAGAAAAGGAGGGAAAAGCTTTCAAGTATTATTAGGCCGTCACAATCACTATATGTGACAAAGAAACTTTTTCCGAATTTGCTGGCCGGGTCTTGGCTCTATACCGGGCTATGCTTCGAGAGCGCTACGTCAGTAAGCTTTTCACCAGGTGTCCAGGTTCTGCCGCGAAGGACAGTCGCGAGTTTAACTGGGCAACTTTCTCCGTACTCTGTTCATACATAAAGTTCTTCCGATCCGGGCCTGGGGTGTTGGGTTTGGCATCCCCGCCAGCTTCACGGGTTGACCATTCACATCCCACCCTCCGGCTGCTTGTAGCGTGGTGGATCTCCCTGCACGCGCTAGCCCCAAACTCGACCTGGCCTTGGCCTCGATGGGCACGTAGAGATTCTTCCCGCCATCAATCTTCCGAAATACTTCTCTAACCTTGTCACTAATTCCGTCGAGACATATTCCACCACGACGCCAGTGCCGTTGGATTTGATTACATCCATCAACTGTGAATTAACATATTTACGGGCAGCCGAGATCTTTGACCTCTCCGGCGAGGGCCGCCCCCAACGCGTCTCATTTACAACCAGTCGCGTTGAGAGGTTCGAATATCTCTCGTTTTCGCCATGGCGCCGCGATCAAGAGCTAGCGGTTTGGACACTGACGCATCAATGTCAGACGCACCGGAATACCGTAGAGGAGAAGAAATGGTACAGTCTATCGTGTAACTCTGGTTGTGAGCATGCAGCGACGCTGACCGCAGGCAACTGCTAGGAGGTCGACGAAACCCCAGACTACACAGATTCAGATACAAACCCCAACACAACGGCGAGCAGTGTTGTCGGAGAGCCGCTTACCGATGGGCGAAAACGCCGATCAGAAGCAAACCAATTGCGACGAAGCATCTTCGGCAGGAAGCACGACCGCCTAGGCGAATCGAAGGCACGTCGTCGTATTCAGAGTGACTGCTAGCATTGAACCCTAACTAACTACCCCCGTAGGAAGATGATACAATTCGACGATTTCGATATCTTCTCGGTCTAACTGACCTCTTTCGTCACTTCATCGAGACGAATCCCGACCCCAAGATTCGAGACATCATGGCCGAGATTGATCGCCAAAATAACGAGGCAGCCCACAGCAAGAAAGGCGCCGGCCGACAGGGAGGAGCTACCAGTGACCGTCGCCGGCGAACCGAGGCCGAAGAAGATGCCGAACTTCTCAAGGATGAGAAGCACGGGGGTTCTGCCGAAACCGTGTTCCGTGAATCGCCACACTTTATTCAAGGGCAGATGAGAGATTACCAGGTCGCAGGCCTAAACTGGCTAATCTCTCTTCATGAGAATGGTATTTCTGGAATTCTTGCCGACGAAATGGGTCTCGGTAAGACTCTTCAAACAATTTCTTTCCTAGGATACCTTCGGCACATTGCGGGCATTACCGGTCCGCACTTAATCACCGTGCCAAAGTCGACACTTGATAACTGGAAGCGGGAGTTCGCCAAGTGGACGCCGGAGGTCAACGTTTTGGTTCTGCAAGGCGCCAAAGAAGAGCGACACAACCTTATCAACGAGCGCCTCGTGGACGAGAAATTCGACGTTTGCATTACCAGTTACGAAATGATCCTAAGAGAGAAGGCTCACCTGAAGAAATTTGCTTGGGAATACATCATTATTGATGAGGCCCACCGTATCAAGAACGAGGAATCCTCCCTGTCTCAGATCATCCGACTGTTCCAGTCCCGAAACCGACTCCTCATCACAGGTACTCCTCTGCAAAACAACCTTCACGAACTTTGGGCTTTGTTGAACTTTCTGTTGCCCGATGTGTTTGGCGATTCCGAGGCATTTGACCAATGGTTCTCAGGTCAAGATCGTGATCAAGATACTGTTGTTCAGCAGCTGCACAAAGTACTGCGACCTTTTTTGCTGCGCCGAGTCAAGAGTGATGTCGAAAAGAGCTTGCTTCCAAAGAAGGAGGTCAATGTGTATTTGGGCATGTCTGATATGCAGGTCAAGTGGTATCAGAAGATCCTGGAGAAGGATATTGATGCCGTCAATGGCGCTGGTGGCAAGCGAGAGTCAAAGACTCGACTTCTCAACATTGTCATGCAGCTTCGAAAGTGCTGCAACCACCCATACCTCTTTGAGGGTGCTGAACCTGGTCCACCTTACACTACAGACGAACACTTGGTATACAACGCCGGAAAGATGGCTGTTTTGGACAAGCTCCTTGTCCGACTCCAGAAACAGGGTAGCAGAGTCCTCATTTTCTCCCAAATGAGTCGTTTGCTTGATATCCTTGAGGATTACTGCGTTTTCAGAGATTACAAGTACTGCCGTATTGATGGTGGAACCGCCCACGAAGACCGAATTGCTGCCATTGATGAGTATAACAAGCCCGGCTCCGAGAAATTTGTCTTTCTATTGACCACCAGAGCTGGTGGTCTAGGTATCAATCTGACAACTGCCGACATTGTTATCCTGTACGATAGCGATTGGAATCCACAAGCCGATTTGCAGGCAATGGACCGTGCCCATCGTATCGGACAGACAAAGCAGGTGGTTGTGTATCGATTCGTGACCGACAATGCCATCGAGGAAAAGGTTTTGGAGCGCGCCGCACAAAAGCTCCGTCTTGATCAGTTGGTCATTCAACAAGGGCGTGCACAGATTGCGGCCAAGGCTGCAGCGAACAAGGATGAACTGTTGTCCATGATCCAGCATGGTGCGGAAAAGGTGTTCCAGTCCAAGGGCGCAACAGGAGACTTGCAGGGTAAAAAGGAGCTTCATGACGATGATATCGACGCCATCCTTAACCAGGGCGAAAATAGAACCAAGGAGCTCAACGCCAAGTATGAGAAGCTGGGAATTGACGACCTTCAGAAATTTACGTCGGAGTCCGCGTACCAATGGAATGGTGAAAATTTTGCCAACGTCAAGAAGGATGTCGGTATGAACTGGATCAATCCTGCGAAGCGTGAGCGCAAGGAACAATCGTACTCTATGGACAAGTACTTCCGACAGGCCATGTACGGAGACCCCAAGGGTGATGGCAAACCTAAAGCTCCGCGCGCACCCAAGCAAATTCCTGTTCAAGACTACCAATTCTACCCACCACGTCTCCGAGATCTCCAAGACAGAGAGACGGCCTACTATAGAAAGGAAATTGGGTATAAGATCCCCCTTCCGGATGGTGACGAAGAGACTCTGTCTGATCGAGAAGCTGAACGGGCTCTCGATCAACAAGAAATCGACAATGCCACTCCACTGACTGAGGAGGAAAAGAAAGAGAAGGAGGAATTATCAACACGAGGGTTCGGTAACTGGAGCCGAAGAGATTTCCAGCAGTTTGTCAATGGATCCGGCAAGTATGGGCGTCACGACTACGAGGGTATCTCGAATGAAATCGACAGCAAGACGCCTGCAGAGATCAAGGCATATGCCAAGGTCTTTTGGCAACGGTACACGGAAATTGCCGACTACACCAAATCTATCAAGGTAATCGAGGACGGAGAGGAACGTACGCGCAAGATTGAGAACCAGCGCAAGCTACTGCGCAAGAAGATGTCTCAGTACAGAGTGCCTCTGCAGCAGCTCAAGATCAACTATTCAGTCTCCACTACCAATAAGAAGGTGTACACAGAGGAAGAGGACCGATTCCTGCTGGTCCTCCTCGACCGATACGGCATCGACTCAGAGGGCTTGTATGAAAAGATGCGTGATGACATTCGCGAGTCCCCCCTCTTCCGATTTGACTGGTTCTTCCTCAGCAGAACTCCGACCGAGCTCTCCCGCCGCTGCACAACCCTTATCACTACGATTGTTAAGGAATTTGAAGACGTGCCTGCACGGGGGTCCAACGGTGTCAATGGCAAAACTAAGCGTGAGCCAGATGACGACAACGACGAGGACAGTATCCTTGGTGCACCCGCGAAAAAGAAGTCCAAGAATGGCGTTAAGGTTCGTCTACCCCCAGCTATTCGGATCCGGCCTATTTGGCGGCAATACTAATACCTAGTTTAGAACAAAGCTCTGGACAATGTCAAATCAAGCAAGGCTTCCTCGAGAGCCCCTTCCCGCGCATCCAGCGTCGCCTCAACGGGTTCAAACACCACGTCTAAAGGCAAAAAGGGCAAGAAGAGAAAGTGATTGATAGCTCAACAGAGCATGGCGTGTATTGTGTTAGAAAACCGGGATAGGTGGCTACGGGACTGATATAGATGTATGGCGTTTTCTGTCAATGATGTTGGGTGTTTAGGGCTTGTAGGCTTGTTATGTAGTGGCCTGGCCTGGTTGAGTCAATAGGATTTTTGTCGACATCATTATGAGTGTGGGTTGTCTGGCGTGTGTCAGTTTGAGCAACGTGTAGATTTAGTTCTCGACCATCAGCTTCCTACTTGGAGATGCTACTGTTTCTTTCTGGCGTGTGTCTCGACATATCGATTTCCATCACTGGGCCCTCACGTCAAGAGTACAATTGGCAAAAACTACAATGTCATTCCCACATCTTCCAGAATTCGGCAGACGCTCCGTTCCATCTTCCCCCGCCCTTTGTTCTTCGTATCTCGTCAAAGAGGAAACGAAACGGCTGTATATGAACTACCTACATATAAAGACCCTCATCGGCACAAGACAAACACAAATAATGCCCAGTGTACCCGGTCTCCATACCATTTTCCGACCCTACTTGTTTAAAACCCGTGACGCGTCTTTTCCCGGGTGTACTTTTTTTCTCTTTGTTGTATCGTTTTACCCCAAGAAAAAAACAAAGGGCTACCTTGTATTCCGCCATAACGCCAAACTATGCAAGCATACCAGGAAAAGACGCGCCTTAAAAAGACCAAATTTGTTTCGAAGGACTTTTCTGCTCTCCTCCCAATCTCACGGCGAAACTTGCGAACTTGGCGCCATGCGCTTGTTTGTGTCCCGTCGTGCAGCAAAGGATATTAAGATGGCAGAGTAAGGTCCGCGATGTTTGGTGATTTTACTTCCTCGTCATATGGTGTTTTGTTCCCTTTACTGCATTCGGTTGTTTCGTTCCCTTTCGACTTCGTACAGAAAGTCGTAGTAACCCTTGTCAAAATGGTGAACACGGACGTAGCCGTCCTCTCCACCGCTGGCGTAGCTCTTGCCCGTGGGGTCGACGGCGACGGTGTTGAGGGGACCGAAGTGGCCTCGCACGCGACCGACCTCGTCCTCGAAGATCTTGTGGTAGAAACGGGCTTCGAATTTACCCTGTCGAGCGGAAGTACGGGTGACATCCATGGCGGCCTGACCACCGCCGAGGATAACAAAGTCCTTCTTGGGGGTGATGGTGGCGCTGTTCAGGGGAGTATCGGCGACGTAGTTCTTCAGCACGGTGAGATCGCGGGCAGCAATGAGCTGTGTCAGCTTGTTAGTATCTCCTTGCTGACCCTTCAACTTTGCCTATTGGTTCGTATGGTTGTCACCTACCTTGGCGGTCTTGTCCTTGCAAGCAGTGATGAAGTAGGTGCGGTCGGGAGCCCACTGCAGGTCGACAATGGGCTGGTTGAGTTCGTGGATGGGGACGTTATCCAAGAGGTCGCCGGTCTTGCTGTCGTACTGGCTGACACTACCATCCTCGTGTCCAGCAATGATGTACTTGCTCATGTTGCTCCATCCTGCAACCGTGGCCTTGGATTCGTCGCAGACAATGGTCAAAGCCTTCTCGTCGCTCTGCTCGGCCTCGACGTCGGGGTTGATATCGATGACGACAATGTTACTCAGGTAGCCCATGCGCTTTTCCGTGACACCGAGAAGCCTGGTGCCATCCTCGTTGAACTCGACACGCTTGACGGCGGTGGGGAACTCCCAGACCTTGAGGCACTTGCCGCTCTTGACGTCCCAGAGGCGGATGGTGTTATCGGCAGAACCAGAGGCGATCATGGTCGAGGTAGGGTCGACATCGACGGTCCAGATGGCACCAACATGGCCGTGGTAGGTTCCGAGACGCTCGCCATTGTGCGAAAACCAGGCGCAAATCTGCTGATCCTTGGCGACGGAGAAGATGATATCGCCATCGAGATTGTAGCTGTTCACGGAGAAGGACAGTTAGTATATGAGTCAGTTGAGGATATAGAAATTCCTCGCAAGCATTTTTCTCTCTCTTCTACTCGCCAAGATTGAAACGGCAATCGGACAGCGGGGAGGGGCTATTTTGACGAGGAGGGGAATGAGCGAAGCGAGGCAAGTCGTACCGAATCTGAGTGAGCGCACGCTCGTGCCCAGAAAGGAGAATGGGTCTCATGTTGGGCAGCTGCTTTGCGAAGTTTACTCTCGACCTTGTTGCTGTGGATGAGCCGGTGCTGGACAAGAAAGGGTCGAGAGAAGGCGGAGGGTAATATGGGCCAGCTGGGCAAGGCGTTTGGATGAGACTTGACCGTGGTTAGTGGGCTTTGAATTTTTGGCGATTGTGCGTTTCGGTGGGGCACGATGCCTCGAAAGGGTAGCGGGGGAGTCACATACAAATCCGCACAGGTACCGCACCGTGTATGGTCAGAGGCAAGCGGAAAGACATGTGCGTATTTGACCGCTTACATGTGTGTATTTGTGAGAGCTGACCATTTTACACAGGGAACGCGGCTCGGGATTGGAGCGTGCCGATTGGACTGACATGTATTCCGTACTTCAAATTCTGCTGCGCGTGCCGCAAGAGAGCAAGTACCTGAGTACCTCCACCAAACATCTTGTTTTTGTCCCCGACACTTTAAGACATCAAGGCAGTCAACACCATCCCTGTTGGAGTCATAAATAGTGAGTCACGATGCTATGAGGCAGACAGTCACTCCCTAGTTTGACCCAGGCATCGTGCTCGTCACCCTCGGATTTGACTGGCAGTGACAGGCTGCCCCTGGAGACGAAGCTTCTAGGTCAACAATGATTTGGTAACCATGGAACAGGCACAACAGTGATGGCGGTCATACAACATGTACCCGGTAATCAGATTGTTGCTCTGGGGTCTGTTTTGGTCGATGATATGGATAGCCCTGCAATCAAGATCTTTCAGCTAATCTCCTTACCACGATGCCACGAGAACCTTCGACTGCAGCCGTGGCCATTTCCGATGAGCGGTGTCTTCGGGTAACATCCCTTCGGGATCGAATATGAAGAACCTTTGACGATTGAGCGGTTGTGGTATGTTGCTTTCATTTATAGTACCGCTGTGTCGCCTTTTACTTGGTGGCTTTCTCATCCGCAACCGCAGCTCGGAGTGCTATAGCGTAGATACAGCAGCAGTATTTCTGACCGTTGCCAACTATGAAATGAGATGCCACGTTACGTGGCGAACGGCACGCCATGGCCAGATTTTTGGTCAACTGGCCAACCCATCCAAACCAGTCTACTTCAATTCCCTGTGCCTCACTGTTATGTGCGAGAGACATGCTTGTTCGGGCTTTGCGTTGACGGCCAAGTATACCATAACATGACGCATTTTGCACAATGACAGACAACTCAGGGGTAATACAGACCGTGTCAGCAAATCTTGGATTGTGACATTGTCTTTGCGGTTAGGAACTGTGCTTGTTCCTGATAAAACAAGTCATGATGCTACCATCAACTGGTATCTGCGGTCGCGGTCCTAAAGCTTCTTGACTTCGATTCATAGCAAATCATCCATCATTCTTTCTTATCGCTCTAGGAAAACCCTGCCTCTCTTTTAGTCGCCACAAACTTCAGCGGTCAATTAGGAGGAACCCTGTCAACTCCTTACCGCTTCTTTTCTCCTTGATCTGTCTCATCAAAATGAAGTGCATATGCTGCTTTTGCTCCGCTCGCTGAGGGTACGCATGTAAATCTACTTTACCAGTCTCGAAGTCCGACCGCTATGATTTAACTTCCGTCAAAGTCGAGTCACTCAGCTTCTCGAGCCGTCTCATTGCCCGGGCCTCCGTTTTCCGGTGTCTTGTTACCGATGAAGTCTTTCTTGCTGGCTTTTGGTAAGGGCTTCGTCATGGCCATTATTCTGAAGATCCGTCGAGGCAGACGATGGCCTGCTTCTTCGACAATTATGGGTTCTTCTACTGCATTGTATGCTGTGGCCGCACCGCCTTCTGCTCGTAGGTATTAATCTCGTCTGGAGACCTGCCAGTGCTGTTACGTCCAGGAACGCCCAAGCACTGTTCTTCGTTGGCTCAGTTGAGTATCCGAGGAGGGGGACCGCGCAGACCCGGAGAGATGAAGCTCACTGAGGAGTGGGTCGGGGGACCAGTAGTAACAAGAAATTTTCAAGGGTCAATGAGGAGGGGGTTTTCTCGCAACACGGCACAGGCCTTCTTGCCTCTTTTCTTGCTACTAGTACTTCCTCCATGTCTCTTCTCATCGGCTGAGAATCCGCCTTTCTGCACCAACGGTCTGTTGGGCAGTCGAAATTGGACGTGGCACAAGGAGGGGTGGGTTCTACAGTGGGGTTCTACTAGTGATGATGAGGCTCATTGTAAGTCATCCACACGTGTAAGAGACCCCAGCCGCATCATGCAAACCATCGATTCAACCAACCAGGATGTAGGTTTTTGGGAACTTGCTGGCGGGCAGAACTTCTTTTCATCGTCAGATAAGAAGGCCATCATTCCGCACGTCCTTTTTACTCGTTTCTCTTGGTCGATTTGAATTGTTCCCTCTTTATCCCATTCTTTCTCTCCTCTCTCCCATGTGCCTCTGACTGAGGGACAACATTTCTTACTATTCACCGCAATTCGACGTGTGTTTTTCACCGACCCTTACTATACACCATCTCCATCTTGTTTCCCATCACCTCACTTGTCTTGCCGCAAGTTTTTGGCTACCCTGACCTGCAACACGCAACGGACCGACCTTTCGCCGACGACTCGGACCAAAATTACCCCAAGTGTCTGGTTGAAAATGGCCATCCATCATCGCCAGTGCGCTTCAACACCACAACACAACTCAACCACATCATATTGATCGACGCCGAACACGATGAAATGAGGCGAGCAGAAGTGCAGCGACTGAAATGAGGCGAACAAAAACTTGCACACGTCACACTGCTATGTCGCCAGCCTCACTTTCCATGCATGACTTGGACGCCTTGGACGCCTTGGACGCCTTTTTTCCGCCGCACCGCATCTTAACTTGGTAATCGCAGGCCAAGACTTTGATTTCCTCACCGAATTTTGAGACATTGAAGCAAATCCGCAACACGTTCATGTTTTACTGGCTCAGGGAGCACACATTCTGTCCCGCCTCGCACCATTGCGCGGTTACCGGCCCAGCTCTTGGCTGTAGCAAAATCCGTATACCTCTCGGAACCGGAGCAGTAACCCGGTGGGCTCTAGAAGATGGAATTCAGCCAGAATTTGAGTTGAGACCGCCTCATTGGCCCAATGAGATCTGAGTGGTGGCTACTGCTAATCACAGGATATTCGTTCAATATGGGAACAATATTGAACGATATCGACGGGCTAGAGGTTGAAGAATTTTGCAGAGAGGTACAATGAGCCGGTGACTTGACTATTGCGGATTGGCCAAGCACGAATGTCGAGTCTGGTTTGCTGTCACGATGCGCCACCTGGAACGGGTTGCCCATGGTCATCACTCCGAGCAAATCGAAGAGGGGCCGCAGTTAGGAGATGATCTTACTCGCCTGAGTTCATGCAGCCGGAGAAGGAGGCGAACGTGAGTGTGGTTTCCGATACCTACATGCACGATATGGACGCATGCACGAACTGTACCGAGAGAGTACCACACTAGCGATGCAACCCACGACAGCTACCGATTAACGACCGTTTGGCAAGGCATTTGGCTAGTTGTATACCTTCGAATCCGAACCAAACCTTTACCAGCATGACTATGTCATGTATTCCTGAGATCGTTGAGGACCGGACGCCTTGCATGGATGGAAGAATGGAGGATGACCGTCGTCGGCAAACGCGAGCCAAAAAAGAGAGATTTCAATCGACTTTTGCGTTCAAATTCGCAGCAGCGCGACATGCCGCAGTCCTCGCCGTTTGCAACTCCATTCTCTTGCTGCGAGTGAAGTTCTACCTGATTCGAAACTCGTTGACTCTATCTGGCCCCCCCCGGCGATAACTACCGACACTTGGCGATTTCTTACCGATTCGTGGTACTATTACTGCGATATTAGAGGAAACTCATCAACTGCCAGGCTTGGTGTGAAAATGCCTTCGGCAAAGGCTGTGTACAACGGGTAATTCGTCCTTGCTAACTTGGCTCTCGTACCTGCTGCTCACGCTTGATTCCTCAGATCGGCTCCCCGCAGGCCCGACCACAAGTATACGCACCATGGAGCGACCTCAGGCGGACAGAATCTTGGCAACGACCGCCTTGCGAATTTCCTCGAGCGTGGCGCCTCGGAGCCTCAGGACATGGCGGCTCGTCATGCGCAAATCTTGGCTTGTATAAGCTCTGTTGACGCCAAGTTCAACCACAATTGAAGAGAGAAGGGAACACACACGGCTATCCGACTGGAATTAGGTTTATGGCGTTCGGGAAGTAGGTAGCCCCTGACGAGACGGAATGGATGTGATGAGAAAAAAGGGACAGAACTCTGGGCGACGCGCAAGAAGCTTGTTACTGTCTGACGGGAAGAGTGGAAAGGGTATTGAATATTGGAAGAAAGGCGTACGACAGGCTTGTCAAAGCACTGGAAACAAGGTCCAATGATGTAGATCTAGCTCTCGTGTTCTATAGCTGGACTATTAACTTGACTCTTTTACACATTCTATCGGTGTCCTTGATTGCCAAGTGAAGTGCGACTATTATTAGTATAATAGAAGAAAAAGGGGAAAAAAAGAAAAGAAAAGATACAAAGAGAGTATAAGGGTTTGAGTTAAACGAAAAATTCAGTCATGCTGCGCTAAACGAAGTGAGAGCGCTGCAGAAGAGCCTTCCAGCTTTGCTTCCGTAATTAATAAGAGCCCACGAATAATCCACCATAATCACTAGCCTCGCATAGCTCAAACTTGACATAACATTTGAATGAAGCCTAATCTCAAATGACCATCTACCTAGTACCTAGTAGGAATGACTGGCTTGGATGCTGATGTCGGTACGTATCTTTGGGGCGTACCGCGATCCTGTCTTTTTGGTGTTGGGGTCGTACACATCTTCCTCAGAAGCAGCTCGACCTTCTAGCTAGCCTCATACATCCAATCTCATGATAACATCATTGAGCGGCACAACAGGCACAAAGCAATCCATAGACGGTCCCCAGCATGGCAGCTTTGCTTACACCTATATCAAGGGCTCAAGTTGACATTTTACCTCGTAATGCACATATGAACTCAATTCGGGCACACACTGAAGTACAAGTTTCACACGGCGAGCGCTAGGACTATCCGCATCTCTAGATGGGCGAGTTGTTTGCAAAAACACCGCCTTTAACATGCACGGAAGGCAAGAACAAGTCCTTAATTGCTGTCATAAATAGGGTGGTCGAACTGTCTGGATTGTTGAGCCTCTTTCTTCGTCTTGAGCCAGCTCGCACTTGAACTGCAATATTTCTTCATCATACCAGCTGGCCTCCCCTGACGATGGAAGTATCGCCAGTGGCTTGCCTCATGGGTACCGGAAGAGTCTTGGTGCAGCAGAGATTCCTCAATTAGAGGCATCAAGATGCGGTAGCAGGTTCTGCATAATCTCGGACACTGTCGGCTGCCGTTTCCGACTTGGGCTTCAGAATACAAAACATGAAGCGGAGCCGCACGGCTTGGATGCCCGGGTCATCAACTAGGAAATTTGGAGTCCCAACCCGAAACAGGAGCCTGAGTGAACTCATCCATGAGGAATCCGAGAAGCATAGGAAAATCCAGCAACTTCCACTTAGTCGAGGCGTATATTGAGTGGCACCTGGCCTATAACAAAGGCTAGTCAACTCAGGTTCCATGTAGAGACGTTTGTAATAGAAAGCCACCAGACTGCTGCTAAACTCGCTATAATATACACTGGTACTGGTCATGCCTATGTACAATACCATACTAGCAAGAGCGTTCACTGCATTGTTCTATCTTTGAGAAGATGTATATTCATTCTGCTGTTTAGCGGTGTCTGACCAACAGACTTCTGGGCCTCAATATGGCGTGGAACTCTTGTACATATCTGAAATATCTCTAGTCAGACCGAGCATATCACTCTTGTACCTCTGCATATCCAGTAGTCTGGTTTAGACATGGAAGGGCATTGCAGATGCTCTCGAGGCTCAACTTGTTTGTCTATTCTTGTACGAGACAACTCCGCTTGACTTATCCCCACGGATCTGTCTCGAGTATCTCACCAGAGCATGTAATCTTCCTGAATGGATGGCCACGGTAGTGCATCTTCACCACGCGACGGAAGGTCTTGAAGCACATGTGGAAGGCGATACATCTCGTACACTCGTATAATGGCCCATATATCATCTGTGTAGAACGTGCGGATTAGTGCGATCCCCCCCATTCCCCATCGGCTTGAGGGCTACTTACACACTTGCAGGCATCACAGATAACTTCAAGTCCCGAGCTTGACGGCGCCGCTTCGTCTGGCTCTAGCGGTCGAGAAGTCTCCTCGTCGGCCGCGATGTCGGCCGGAGACTGGAACGGCAGCTGCGGGTCGTCGGGCCTGAGACGATTTCTCAAGCTCTCGTCACTGGTAAGGTGGCCGCCGTGGTACCAAGCGACGTCGAAAGGGGTCCAGCCTCGGAGGCTCCTTGCGTTCCTACAAGTCGAGCCATCTCTATCTAAAAGGAACTCGACGACTTCGCTATTCTGGCTGCGACATGCCCAGTGCAGCGGGGTCCAGCCGTCTACGTCGCAGTCTCGCACTGCATCTGGATGTTTCTCAAGAACCAATTTCACCACGTCTAGGTGTCCGCGCCCGGCCGCGAAGTGGAGGGCGTGCTGGCGTTGGTGCTCGTCTGTGCTTACCAATGTGATCTCGTCGTTGGTGAGCCTCTCCAGATACTGCATCGCGGCGCCTAAACGTCTTGAGCATGCGGCAAGGTGCAGCGGCAGGCGGCCGCACATGTCGCGCGCCCCGGGCGATACATATTTATGGTGCAGAAGACAGCCGACCACTTTTCGATCTCCAAGGTAGGCTGCGAGATGGAGCGGCGTGCCGTCGTTATCCTTGAGCATTGACTGGCGTTCCAGGAGGAACTCGACCATACTCTTCCACTTGGCGTGGATTGCAAACTGCAAAGGTGTTGTGTGACGGCCGGCGTGTATGTTGAGAGTGGTGTTGTCATGATCTAGGATCATTTTGGCCATGGTTTTGTACTCGGCGATGGCGACGGCGACGGCCACGCCGACCCCGGGAACGACTGAGGGCATGGCAGCTGCGGCGTGCAGCGGCGAGCCGTAGAAGCCGCTACCTTTGCGGACGTCGGCGCCGCGGCTGAGAAGCAGCTCGACCATTTTCGGACCGTCCTTGCCGCCTTCGATAACAGCAACCTGAAGCGGAGTCCCGTGTTTCTGGCCGACGAGGTTCACGTCCGTCTTGTCAGACTCGCACAGCAGCTTTGCGAGCTCCAGCCAACCCCAGGCAGCGGCGTAATGAAGCATCGAACCGTAGTTGCCGAGTTCCTGATTCGGGTCCATGCCATATTCCAGCAGAATCCGCACTTTTTCCGTGTCCCGGCCCTTCTCCTTCTGCCCATGCAGGAAGGGGAACAACGCTTTAGGAGACAAGCAGAAGCCCGGCCCCCAGATGTCGGCGGCGTGCTTCACAATTGGCCGGAACACGTCCAGTTTGAAAGTGGCCAGCGCCAGGTCGAGGAATGTGGAATACTCACCTGCAAAGGGCTGCGGCACAGCGAAAGATGACTTGGCGGCAAGCAAGATGCCGACGCCGTCCTTACTGCCGGCTGTGGCAGCCAGGTAGAGCGGAGTGGCCCCCTTTTCGTTCTCGACATTTAGGCCGGCCCCGGCCTCGACCAGTATCTTGAGGCATTCTACAGAGCACTCTCTTGCGGCATAGTGAAGGGGGGTGCTCTCGCTGATGTCTCTCACATCAAGCTTGGCACCTCTGCTGACCAGAAGCTGCACCAACCTCGGGTTGGAGCTAAAGGCACCGTGATGTAATGCCGTCAGGTTTAATGAGGACTTGGTATTTATGTCTGCCCCGGCGTCGAGTAGTGTCTTGACCGTGTCTTGCCATTGAAACGACGCAGCTCTCAAGTAGCCAGCATTTAGACTGGCCGAGGACGTGCAAGGCGTAAGGACCTTTACCGCCGCAGTCTGTCCGTACTGGCAAGCCAGAACCAGCGCATCCGTGTCCCTGAAGCCTCTGTCCAGCAGCATCTTGATGACCTGGACATGGCCCGCAAGAGCCGACAGCGAGAGAAGGGAGGGATTCGCTTGGTACCCGTCGTCGCTGCCCACCACTTTTGCCGCCTCCAGGAGCTCGTGTAAAACTTGGTCGTGGCCGTACTGCGCCGCATACTGCAGAGCGTCACGGCCGTTTCCGTCACGCCATATTACACTGGCACCGCGACCTACAAGAATCCGGACCATGTTCAGATGGTTACCCTTGGTCGCAATAATGAGCGCAGTTGAGCCGTCAGATGCGTGAGAATTCACGTCAACATCCCTCTCATGAATCGGAGCAGATGTGGTGTCTCCCAGAAGCATCAAGGCGATTCCGAGGTGATTGTTCTCCAACGCCAGATGCAGCGGAGTTCTGCCAGCGCTGTCCTTAGCATTCGGCGCTGCCCCCCAGACAAGAAGCGTCTCGGCAATGTTCCAATGGCCGTTGCGACAGGCTACGTGCAGCGGACTTTGCTCTTGGTTGTCGCACACAGAGTGATCGGCGCCCGCAGTGAGAAGCTGCCGCACCACGGTGAATCGTCCGCGCTGGCTGGCGAGGAACAACGGGGTGGCGCCCATCAAGTCTCTCATGTTGAGCGACGCCTTGGCTGCTTCGGACTCGCCAAGCTTGGACAGGATCTTGGACACTAGACACTCTTGACCGGACATGGAAGCAAGATGGAGAGGCGTTCTCTCCTGATATTGCTCGGAGGCGTGGCTAATGTATTGCTCCTGCCGCTCCCATAATGCCTGCGGTGGAAGCGAACCACCCAGTGCTGCAATGACGTGTAGAAGAGGTTGATGATATTGTCCACGGTCCGAGTCGGCCCATAAATCGGGCTTGTTCGTCAAGTGCATTATCAGGCCGGAATTTCCAAGCCGGGTTGCATCCTGGAGAATCTCGTGCACATTCTTCTTGACGAACTCGCTGTACCTCTCTGCTAGTATACACAGGGACGAGTCGGACCCTATCTGGAAAGCTCTCTTCAGGGTATACTCGTCTCCAAAGTCGCCGCATTGATCAAGTTGGTGTAGAGTGCTGGCGATTCCCATCTGACACGCAGCCAGGGCCACTGTGGATGGACACTTCCCCTGGTCGGGTGCGCATTCAATATCAGATGCATGCAGTGCGAGGCTGATGGCCTCAGCACGGTCTACATGCAGTCGGTCTCGGATCTGGATGATGCTGGGCACAGTCTGTTGATTTGACTCGGGCGGCTGAAAGGCGCGTCCAGAACTTCGAAGTCGCAGGCAGCAATGAACCAGGTCTCCGTCACAGACAAATTCATCCTCCAATTCCGTATCTCCAGACGAGTAGTCTTTTAACCGTAGATGCGTGAACCAATGCTCGACAGCGTAGGACATCAGCGGCCCCGAGTCCAATTGCCCGGCCGCCACGTCACCGGGAGCATCACCAGAAAAGCTCTGGGCTTCGATAGCCCCCCCTTCCGACTCTTCCGATGCCTTTTCGGGCTGCCCGCTCCGGTAGTGATGAAGGATGTATCTGCGGCAACTGAGGGCAATGTCTGGACTACAAGCAGGCTTGAGGCCAAGAAAATGCGACGAGTCCTTTGCATGACCAGACGTCTGTTGGAGAAGGTGCTGAGTAAGCAGGGAACTGGCCAGGTAAACGGTGCCGTCCTCAACCTCAACAAGTCCGCACAACAGTCTTTCGAATTCTGAGACGGTGATTATGCTAAGGCCGTCGCCAACGACGTCATCTGCCCCCATCCCAAGTGCCGTCGCGAATTCGGCACATGTAAGTGGCCGCAGGGCGTGGGTGATCCATAGAATCCCAGTTCTTACCACACTCTCCACGGATTTGGGTACCAGATTCAGTATGGCCGTGACAACGTCCTGACTGATTGCCGAAAACAGGGATTTTCTGACCGACTGCAAGGACAGGAAGGAATGTTGTTCCAGCACAGCAAACAAGTACCGCATAGTCTCCAGATCCGTGGACGCTGCCAAAAATTCCATGCCATCTTTTCGGGAAAGAACCTGAGCCCTCTCTGGACCTAGACGGTCGAAACACGCGTCGTAGTCCATTCCAAGAGCTTTTAAAACGTCGGTATCGCCAGGATCTATCATTTTTCGAATAACGACGCGGTTAGTATCTTGTTGTATATGGTCAACAGTCGAACTAGAGGAGGGGGCTCCATCTCGGGTCGTATTGGGATTTATACAGGTACTGGCATCGGGCGTTGTGCCCGGACAAGAGGCCACATTCCGCACGACCAGGATCTTGACTGAAATTTCTGTTGTTTGGACCAAGCCAGCAAGGTCGGCAATAAGTTGCAAAAAGGGCGAGGCGAAATCAGGCTCGGCCGGCTGATGGGCGATGAGAAACGGCTGGCCTAGGACCTGTCCGCCAAGAAGCGTCACGAGACATGTCCACAATGTGGCCTCTATCCAGGCAATGTTGTGGCTGTCGAGAGCGTTTCGTGCATCCGCCAGCAGTGGCTGGATTTCGACACAAAGGCTGGGATGCCCTGTCAGCAGCTGCCGGCAAACACATGCCATAAGCTGTGCTTTTGTCAGCGGAAAAGGGCGCGGCTTGTGATGTGCCAGAGTCAGGAAGATGTCCATTGGCCATTCCTGCCGCTCCCGGAGTGAGGAAATAAGGGAACTTGTGAGAATGGTGGTGTCTCGAACACAGCCTCCAATCTCTAGTGTTGTCATGGTCCTGGCCACGGCGTGTTGGCTGCGCTTTGGGACCTCCCCTGTCTTTGGATCATTCGATACCTCTGAGTCTGGGTCTTGTAGACTCTGTTGTTCATGGCTTTTCATTACAGCAGCCCCCGTCTCCTTGCTAGCCCCCGTGGCCTTATCTGCCCACGAAGCCAGTCCGGCATCTGAAAGGATCCAATCACATAGGTTTTTGTAGGCAGGCTTCGAACCCTGTCGCGCAGGAATGTCTAGGCCGAATCGAGTGAGAAGTCGGAGCCATTCTTGATAGTCTTTGCGTGAGCCTGGAGAAGGAAAGACGATCAGCCCCGATTCCCCCGAAATTCCGATATGAGCCCCGCAGAGGAGTCAAGACTTACAGGCCTTCGCGTTTTCAACCCTACTGGCAATGAGAGTCTGATGCTCGTGTGCGGAGACATTGAACAGCGTGTTGTCACCTCTTGGAAGGCCAATCTGAATCTCACCGTGTACGTCAAGCGTCGCATTGAGTTTCTTGGCCAGCTCCACACGATTGTTAGTCTTTATAGGAAGCTGGCGGGGATTCTGTGACAGCTCACCATTTCATCGTCATCTGACTTTGAGCTTACGTGGTAATGACTGATTATGCTGATTTTGTATTGCTCAATGAAAGCATTGAATTTGTCCGTCAGGTCCTTGTGGAAGCTCGACAATTGACTGACAATGCGAGGAATCCAGGGGCCAGGGCAACCTTTATGCTGTGTGAGGATGAGGTGTGATAACATGGCCTCCCAAGAACAACAGTCTGACTCTCTGTGAGGGGACCCAAAGAATATCTGTCGTGGTATCAGCAGACTAAAAAAAAGGATGGGGATTTCTCTCTGCAGTGTTAAGAAAGAGATGCTTGACCTGAGACCGCAGGAGGTGTACCAACCAAAAGGTGTGTATTTTCTAGGACCGATGAGAACTTGGATGTGTCCGACGCCGCTATCAGCAAGGCCTAAGAGCAAATCGTCTGGTTAGTACATTACTTGATGGACCTCCGGGACTTGAGGGTCAGACCCATCGTCAGGTATCTTCATCTCACTTGTTTTAGGATCGTCCCGCCAATATCGCAGGCCGTAAAGATGAGTGCCGGCTTGGGAGACTATTTTACGCGTCAGTTCGATTATGCAGGGACCAAAAGCTCAAAAGAGTCAACCTGGTTTACCGCAATATTTCTCCGCGAATTTATAGCTCCCAAGGCCACTTGAAGCAGATTATTTGCCAAAGTCCGAATTCCCTTGATAGTAGCCGCCTCTCCGACGATGGCGTTGGCCGCCCAAGAGAACCCTATTTCTCGTCTAGTGGGCGTGCCTTGCTGGTAGTGCAACGAGGCATGCTCGCCACTGAGGCTCGCAATGCTGACGAAGCTGAACAAAAGATGTTAGAAATGGTCTTGGTAAGAATGTTTAGAGCGCCACACACATCGGGTCTGGAGAATTATTGGTTTCTTCCTCATGGACTATTGACGCAGGGCGTGGGGATTCTGGTTCTGAATCCCAGTCGGACACGGTAGTATCCTCCGAGTCAGAAGAGGCGCCCGCGGCTGATGGACTTGGAGCGGGATCTGGAAACTCCATTCTGGGCTGATATGCTGGACCGCAGGCATGTAAGGCTAGTTGATGGGCGACAGTCCCGAGGGCGCGTTTGTGGCTCTTTTTTATGGATGCCGAGCGCAAAAGTGCGCGAAAAGATGCTCGACTTGATCTGGCTAGCAATCGCCGCCTCGCCGGAGGTCACACGGTCAAGATCTGGACAAAGGCATCGGACAACAAAGGCCACACAACAACAAAGAAAGGTACACATGTATCACGAGAGCCCGGAGTCGGACCTTGGCGAGGGCAGCTTCAGGACTCTAGGGCTCACCGACTTCTTGATTTATAGAGACCTCTGACCCTCGAGGTCTTGGAAAACCAAGGACCCTATACTAAGGTCTACAAGATGACTTGTCACGACGCCGTGTCCGTATGCCGGGACACGCCACGTTCTACAGCATCCGTCAACACAAAACCCTGGGTTGTGCTGCGCGCCGAATTTGCAGGGAGATGATTGTATTCAAAAGAGAGAGTGCCGAGGGCATCTTCACGTCTGTTGCGGAGCCCGAGCACGCCTTGAGGTGTCCAGAGGCAATGCATGGCACGATGGCCACAAAACGGGTCTCGTTTGCATCTCGACGCAAAATATCAGCCATCACAACGATGCACCCGACTATCGACAAGTCAAAAAGCCAAAGAGTAAAAGAGCGTGTATTGAGAAAATGTGAAAGGAACCCAAAGCAGTGAGATCAACCTCGTTGACAAAATTCAGTCTCGGCAGAATCAGCACTATATTAACCCTAACCCTCACCCCTCACCCCCCTCGGCGGCAAACGCACGTCAAACACCACCAGGTTTCCTGGTCGGATCCAGATATCGCGACCTGTGTCGCCGTCCCAGGTCCCCTTGCCATTTGGAAATATCGGGCGTCATGTACGGCGGCAGTCCGACAAACGGATTGCCCGGCTCGTTTCTCTCCAAAATCGCCATGGCGAGCGATAGCGCAGGCACGAGGGAGACATTCTCCGCCATCCAGGCGTGCAGGCCGTGAATGATACTCTCGAGGGCGCCCACGACCCACGCGTGATGCGGGCTAGCGGCCTCGCCAGCAATGACAACGTCGCCCGAGGGATGGATCATCTTGTTCCACATCTTGGTGAACTGCTGGGGGCGGAAAAAGGCGAATGCCCCAGCCGTGTTGGGGTCGCTGCCCCAGGCGTGAGCATGGTGAGTAATGTAGTTGTCCTTGACGAGCTCATACAGCTCTTCCTCGGGCATGTGTTCAGTCCTATGCAGGCGCGCCAGATCGCGAAGAAGCAGCTCCTTTAGCTCCGCCTCCTCTGCCACCTTTTGCTCCGGCTCGGGGTTGCTGGATAGGAGTGCGCCGATGCGCTCCGCGTCCTGCTGCCAGGTGTAGGAGCAGAGGAGCACGGCGGTGCCGTCCGCGTCGTCGTAAATGTTGTACGAGGGATACACGCACGTGCGGATGCTGAGGTCCGAGTGGCCCAGGCCGCCCATCTTGATGTCGTGCGTCCCGAGATCGTGAATCCACCACGCGCGCTTGAACTTGATGGCCACCTTGGACGACGGGCCGTACCCGAGGGACCGGAGGGCCTGCTTGGTGGCGTAGTTGAGTCCAGCGCGACTAATGTCCATCTGCCGCATGCAGCCGAGGGTTGTCGTGTTGACGAGTCCCTTGTACTCGCACTTCGTCTTCTTGCCGTGCGGCGTGTCAACTTGGATTTCCACCTCCATCGGCCCCTTGGCCGTGATTTTGGTCACCCTGTTTCGGTAATGAGGCTTTCGTGAAATCTTGCTCTCTAGGATTTTGGACAGCTGCTGGGCGCCACCTAGGATGCAGAACCAGTCCTTGTGCTGGGTGTCGTATTCAAAATCCAACGATTCGAGAACAGTCTCGCTGAAGGCTTGGTCGTACCAATTGGTCCCCCTGGAATCACGCAGTATTTAGCATCATTACTTTCTGGCGGAGGTGTAGGATCTACCACTCACCCGTTGAACGTTTCCATCCACTCAATGGTTTCATAGTTGTATGGCGGTGGTGGGATAGAGCTTCCCGGGCTTGGTTTCGAACCGCCGCTGTAGATAGGGGAAACATGTGAGCGGGCTGTTTGACACAGCGAGCGCAAGACAAGATGGTCCATCTGCTTACATTCCCAAGAATTGGCGCGTACTGAATTTATCATACTGCATGAGGAGATTCCAGCCCTCACGGCCGGGAGGGTCCTGCTTAGCATCGCGTCTGAGGGCCTCTCTCAAGGGCTCAATGCTAGCATTCATGACGTGGTCGGGACCATTTTTGAGCAGTCTGATCCAATGCTGATTAGCTCAACGTGCTTCTTACAACGGCTTCATGGCAAACCCGCTCCCTACATTTTGGGTATGGTGTTGTCGGTTGAAATCTTGAACGGATCACTATCATCAATCACGATGGAGCTATACGTTCCCCATAGAGTGATGTCGTTGAAACACCAAGGCTCAACGGTACGTGAATGCTCGTCGCCATTCGTCATATAATACGGAATGATGGATCCATCGGGAGCGTTTGGGTGTGTTTTCAAATCCGTCATCTCCATACCGAGCGTCTTGAAGAGGGCAAACGTTCTATTCTTCTCGTCAGACCAGTCACATGGCGTCGTTATTATCGGCTGCCATGACCTACCGCGCCATGACGGGGTTGTCTGGAAATCTCATGGCACCCACGTCGTAGTAATCATGAGCCTTTCTCGGCCCCCCGAAATTATGCGTATATAGGCGGCCGCCAACCCTGTCGCGTTGAGCAGCCTCATGAATGGTATATGTAAAACACAGCGTATTTGGAAACCGTTTAACAAAGTCGTATTGGCGTTGGAATTCGTCCATGTTGGCCGGGGTGTCGCTTTGGGATCCGCCGTCCTTGACGGCCATCTGGAACAATTCCCAGTTGAGGTAGTCGAGCACCTTTGCGGCGAAAAGGCCAGCGACTCCGGCTCCAACAATGCCAAGCGGAATAACTAAAGATCCTGTTGGAGGGCCCTTGGGTGTATCGTGAGGTTTCGGAGCAGGCGGTAAATACGGATCCTCAATATCAAACATGCGGGGATCTTCCGGCAGCGATGGCTCATGCCTTATATTGTCGCTCCGCAACCGCACAAACTCCTCCTTGATCCCTCGGACGGCGTGTTGGCTTGCCCATTGGTCTCTAAGAGACAAATTGGATCCTTGATCCAGTGACATGGTCAAAGTATGGGTGGGTGTTGTATGATGTGCTGTGTTGGCCTCTGCGCAGTTCAACGGGAGCTGGCGAAAAGAGAGAGCCTGGAACTTGCAATGTAAATGATGGCTCTCCTTGGGATGAGAAAACGAGAACGGATATCCAGCGGCGTCGTGGCACTACTTATACCTTTTGCCCTTCCTCCCCCTTTGCTCTGGCCCTTTACGAATGCCCGAGCCAAAGGGGAGTTGGACAGCATGCTTGGACGAGTCACGGAGCAGATGTATCCTGTAAGCCACAGATTGTTTTGTCGAGAACACGTCTCTGCATCAACGGCGCATCAGCGGCAATCAAGCGAGAACATGCGGATCCCCTGCTCAACTTTCAACTTTCATTACGTACAAAAGAAACGAAGCAGCGCTGCAGAAAAAGTGGACAGATGATATCTGATACCAAATGCATATACTCGGGAGTTGCTTGCGTCACATGCCGGATAGAAAAGGACGTTGCGTATGAGACTTGGAGCCCTCCTTTGTAGTCGGTCATTTTGCTAGTCAGGTAATGCTGACGCCCAGCCGTCTAGCTACGGGTGTGCAACGAAACATGTCGTTTATCAGAAAACTTGCCGTACAAGCAGGATGGCGACATGAGCTGTTGCCGCGTCGCGCGTTGCGTCAAGACGAGCTCCTCGACTCAGTTGTGTTGCATCGATGTCCTTTGCGATGCCAGCTTACACTTCAGCCACCTGGGCCTAGACTTGACGCAGGTTGACTCGAGCCGCAGCATCGCTGATTATAGGGTGAGGAAACAGACGGAATTCCGGGGCGCTCCCATATCCTCGCATGGATCGTGGGGAGCTGTCGCCGACTGTGCCGGTTATGCCCACGACAAACGGATACATGTTGCAGAAACGAGCAACGTCTGGTTACGCATAGAGAAAGCGATTTGATGAGTTTTGACTTGCAAACTGGTAGCACCTTCACCCCGTTAAGATGAATCGTCTTCCTAAGCCTCCGTGAAACGCTTGCAATGCCTGGCGATGTACTCCGTATAATGGCAGTGTTTGCCCATGTCTGTCTTCTCTTTGGACTTGCCGTCTGGGACATGAGCTTATTCCAATATTTTCAGCCCGAAAAGTGCGCCAAGGGATATAATCAGGTGCCTGGAGATACCTTCAATCGATCCATATCTGCTGATTGTGACAAGCAGGGTGAGCAAGGGTTCATGTTTGGCTGCCTCTCCTGGCCTACTGTTCTGGTCTTGTTCCCATGTGCTCTGCTAATCGAACTTTTGCGACGTATAGGCCAAGAAGAAGCATTTATCCGCGCTGGCAGTCAGGCTGCTCTCATATAAAGCCTGTGTTGGAACTTGGAACTGACAACGTAGCTATTTGCCAATTCATAGCATATCCGCACCTTGATACGCTTGATAAGACTTGGCTGATTTGAAGCCACAGGTGGACCAGATCATCCATGGACACATCCTCTTCGATCAGATGACTTTATGGGAATAGAATAATCTAGCAGGACAGTGCTGAACATGTCCGTGGTGCGGATGTTGCGGTTACAACGTTTGGTCCGACGAGCAAGGAGACTATCCGACTCGTCATGGTCTGACTTTGATACGGTATGTACTCATATAGCTACGGCTCAAGGCTAGCCAGCCACAACTTGAGCCTGGCAGTCGTTTCACCTTCGATTGACATGATGCGCTCTGATTATCCTTTGAAGCTTGCATGCTTGACTTGCGAGAGCCATGGTATTCCCAAAGAAGTAAAATAAAAGGGTATATCATTTCCTGCCATCCAAGGCCAAGAAGCTTTGTGAATAGATCTCATCGGCCAGTCACCATGTGATGCCAGCTCCTCGACTTGATGCGCCTGACCAAAATGCCGCAATCTCCCCCCAACAGAACCCCCCAGACGCACCGTGCCATCATCGACATGATAGGGCTGACGAGCTCCCTCCCGCAGTCATGGCTGTCAGAAAGCGACCTCCGATCAGCCGCAATCTGACGACCTGGGTCTAGACTCCTGCACCTGGTCAATAGACCACTTCAGCCTCACGCTCTCAACCTGCGGAATGTATGCACACAAACGAGAGAAACTGGGTAAAAACGCCTCGCGGGTCCAGGGGTCGCCCTTGCGGTCAGACATGGCTGCGAGCTTAATAGTTTAAATTGATGCTTGTTCACTCATATCGTGCTCTCGACGTAGGCCCGACGTAGGCTCGACGTCGAGTGCCACCGCCTCAAGACCGTGATTTCTTGCCTCCCTTTGCTCATCACGGCCATGGATTCCTTCGCCAAAGCATTCCAGAAGGGCCTGGCCAAGACAGTCGCCGCCGGCCAGCAGCAGTTGCAGCAACGACTGTCCAAGCACGACCAGCAGAACACGAGTGTGAATACGTACGGGACGGGTCCTCAGGCCCAGGCGCAGTATGCGTACGGCAACCAAGGCTCACATCAGGTAGCTACATGACATGTATAAATCGCTTCTCCCCCTGAGCCGGTTCTGAATCAATCTAGGCGCCGCCCGCGGCCCAGCAGACGTACTTCCCGCCGCCGCCGGGAACACGCCCATCTCAATACCAGCCTTATGCTCAGCAGAATAGCTCGTCGTACGGGCAGTATACGCCGACATCTGTGAATAGTCCGCCTCTGGCGGCTGCACAATCGTATGGTAGTCACACGGGCACACCTGCTTCTCAGGCCGGATATCATGGATACGGTCATCAGCCTCCGCCGTTGCCGCCCCGGACTAGCCAGCAACCACTGGTGAATGGCTCGTCGGGTCATGAAAAGACTGCGTCTTACAGGCTCCAGGATACTAATGCTGGCGGGTATTTTTCTGCGGCGGCTACGCAGCACGCTTATGGCACGCCGGACGGGCAAACCGCTCATGGTAATCCCGTGCCGGCAGTCTCTTCCGCGACAGGTTATCCCCCGCCGCCGGCGCCTCGAGTGAATCAACAGCCGGGAAATACTTATTACCCGTATGCAGATTATGGCAAGGATACGGTTTGTAGACCCCCCCAGCATTCTGTCAATGTAAACCAGGGACAAGCTTGTGCCATACCCGCCGAACCGGTCAAGAATCCGAGCCAGCATGGCAGTACTTATGCCGTGTCTTCGCCTGGGATTCAGCAGCAGCGGAATGAGACTGTGTCCCATTCAGCGGCGAATGCTGATACTTGGGCAAACACGCAAACTCGGCCAGTGGCTGCAAATACACCGTCTCTCCAGCAGTATCAACCCGGGGCTGAAACAGCTTCGACCGCTCCGGTTCTGCAAACGCATCAGAACGCATATAGGACATCAGAAAACACGTACTCGTATAATGCGCCAACGACAACATTTGTCAACCCATACACTACGCTGGAGAACAAACAGGGCTCTCTCACGGCGTCAAACACGGCCCCAGATCAGCAATATCGGCCTGTCCTGGCTCAGGAGCCAAGCCTTCCTGTCAACAACACGAGCTACGAATACACAAATACAGGTTATGCTCAAGCCTACCAGCCACCGCTTGAGGCCAAACAGAGCCCACCAGCAGCATCTAACCCCAGCCCTCCGATACAAGGCCCGGACCGGGGCGGCACGGCTCAACATGACCGACCTCAGAATGATGCGGCATCTATAGCTCAACAGATGAACAGTCTCAGCATACACGGCAACCAGGCCGCCTCGCCAGACGATACCCGCGGTCCATTGCAAAACCCTAAACCTAAACCCCCGCCAGTGGTAGCCAGCGGCTCACCAAGGGACATAGTCCGGTATTGCCCTGAAGACCGTGTCGTCGAGTACTCCCTCTACTGGTACCAACTTCCCGAGATACCAGGATTCCTCATCTGCACCAAATGCCACGAGGATCACATCCGCGGCACGCCGCTAGCAGGACAGTTCAAGCGAATCCTTGCTGAGGAAGGATCCTCCTCTACCTGTCGATTCTGGTACCCGCGCGTCAAAGACCACCTGTGGAAACAAGCCCTCCAGCGCAACGACCTACACGGCCTGCGGACCTACGCGACCCATCGCCTCACGATCCCCAACTGCAAGGGCAAAGAAGCGACGACTGGAAAAGAAGGCGTCAAGTACTACGGGATGCAGAACAACGAGATCAAAGGGTTCATCACCTGCGAAGCATGCTACGAGGACAAGATCGCCGGCACCGCATTCGCATCCAGCTTCACGCCGCGCGACGGCCAAGGCGCCGAGGACAAATGGATCTGCGACACAAACTCAGCGTACGTGAATCGCGCTCTTGCGCGCTTCGCCGAGGGCAACGACTGGGCCGGCTTCGTCGAGGGGGCCACGCGCCGGCTCCAGCTGCCCGTTTGCGAGGGCGCCTCCAAGGCCGCCAGCGAAGGGCCCTGGTACGTCTTCCGCCGGAAGCTGGACAACTTCCACGCCTGCGCGACGTGCTTCATGGACAAGCTGGCGCTGACGGCGTTTGAGGGCGCCTTCGACGCCGTGAACCAAAACGTCGGGTTCGACGCGTGGATGGAGATGCTGGGGCAGCGCTGGACGTGCGACCTGACCAACAACTCTCTGCCCGTGCTTGTCGCTCTCGAGGCGGCCCTCTGCGACGACGACCTTGACGGGTTCTGGGAGACTGCGCGGACTGTTAGCAAGCTGGTGCCGTGTACGGCCAAGGGCATCGTACGCGGCAACTGGTGGACGTTGGGCGGGGGGTGTGACGACTTCGACATTTGCGAGGCGTGCTACGTCGGTGTTTTCAAGGCCAAGGGGCTCGGGGGGTTCCTGGAGCCGGCGGCCCGGGACCCCGAGGCGACGCTCGTGTGTAACTTTTGCCCGGCGAGCCCGCGGTTCCGCCAGTTTGCCAGCAAGTACCTCGAGGCGCTGGACCGCGGCGTCTTCAGCTACTACGCCGACTGCGTGCGCAAGTTCGCCGCCGTGGCCCTGTGCCCGGGCATACACCACCGCGAGAAGGCCAAGTGGTGGGGGTACCCGGAGGCCCTGTTCTGCGAGGACTGCTACGTCGGCTTCGTCGCCGACACGCCGCTGGCCGCGCGCCTCCCCGTCAGGGGGGAGCTCGACCAGCGCGCGCAGATATGCCAGGTCTGGTCGCCGCGCATGCGAGGCATGTGGACGGAGGCGTGCGCCGCGGGGGAGCCCGGGTCCGGCGCGTCCGACGAGCGGGTCGCCGCGTTCAGGGCGTTTGGCGACAAGCGGCTGCAGGTGTACTTGCAGACGGTGCCGAGGATCAAGTTCCTCCGGGACATGAAGGAGATGAGGATGATGAACGCCATGCACCAGGGCCAGCTGAGCCTCATGTACTCCGGGATGAACAGCATGGCGGTGCTCTCGGGCACCACGGACGGCAACCTGCACGGGAACAGCTCGCTGGGGTGGTATGAGACGGAGAATGGGGCCACGGGCGCGCAAATGTTCAACAACATGCAGTCTGGGTTTGCGAATGCCAACAGGACGGATGAGTGGACGGAGATAATGAGGCTGCAGGCCTTGTGGTGTGAGGTGGAATGACGGAGTGGTGGTCTCATGCGGTCTGTCTTAAACGAATCTGTGATGAATGGATCGGATACGGCTTGCTTGTTGTAGTTGTATTTCAAATGAAACGACGTCTCCTTGCTTCCGGGCCGTGTGTGCTGCGTGTTGGATGAGATGGAGTTTGTGTATGGCGGTGAGTCCCAAGATTGAAGCTCATGTATTCGGCTGGCAAAAGTGTAGAGGGGAGTACAAATGACTAACCACCAGACGGAGCAAAGCTGCGTCCAATGACAGAGGTCCCGAGTTACCGTTTTGGCAGCGACCAGGTGGCAGGCACCACGCAGTTACTTTCCGTCTTTGCATTTCGGATGGCAGAACAGGTCACATGCCCCGGAACAGCCACCGTGAGCCAATGCCATCGTCTAAGCATTAATGGCTATCCAGGCGATTGGAGGCTGCCGTCAAGCATCCCATGCCTGTTGCCCGCGTTGACATGCTGTTGCCACCAATTCCGCGCCAGCATACCATTGCCAACCGTCACCCACGAATGGGTTAGTTCCTGTTAGCTAACAGCTTATGCGGCTCCTGACGCCACCTCGAAGCGTGGCGATAACCCCTCGCCGTCGTGCTCGGACAAAGGATCAGTTCGCGGGCGAATTGACACCTCAGCTTGGCCTAGTTTTGTCTGGATGGGCCGATATGGCGGGCAGGTTTGGTAGCTGGATGAAAGTGGTGGGAGGGGGAGAGCTTGGTTGGCAGCTCCTTGCAGACCGGAGGGGTGGGATAAGGGGATCTGAGATAGTCTGGCATCTCAGATCACCGACTACGGTTTCATCAAAGGTATGAGACGTGTACAAGAGGAAACTGGGGGGTAGCGCTGCAGGCTCACCGTTGTTAGAATACGTAATGAGCTTCCTTTCCTGACAACCATGTATGCCCCAATATGTCGACAGTCGGCCCATGTCTGGGGAATCTGGGGAAGTCTCGGCATCATGGACCGTGGACTTTGCTGCTTTTGTGCGCCAATGCACCACTGCTACTCATGCGGAGTGCGGGCGGGAGCCTCGGGTCTTAAGTAGTGGCCGCTTTCTCATCATGGTCATGGGCAAAAGCTGGGGTAGTCCAAGTTGCCCCCACGCTGGCGATGCGAATTTGTTGGTCATCAAAATAGAGCCATTGGTCGACGTGTCGAGTTGTTGCAGGCACAGCGTCGAGCATTAGCCGTGGACCTGCCCGCTCTGTCGCTAGTAGATGACAAGACGGCCGAGTCCTGCGATACACCAAGTGAGGGGGAGGGGGTTCTAGGGGGACCTGAGAAATCGCAAAGGTCAAAAGGGAGGTTGTAGGTTTAAAAAGAACCCCAACCCACGACCTGCTTGGAGGACAGGTCAGTACCCGCCAGACCTGCGTTTTCGAAACTAGACTGACCTTGGCTGACCTTGGCTGAGCCTGGCTGACGGGCTCCGCTCACCGAACAAAGACATTGGAAATCGCCCCAGGCCAGAGAAAAAGTCAAATCCTTGGCGTGGCTCTTGCCGTTTGGCCATCTGCCGAGTCGTTAGTTCATAACAACGTGTCTCTCTGCCCTGCGAATGATCTGATTTCGCTTCTTGATTCATAACTGCAGCATACAGATCACCGAGCACGAGCATTTGGTCTCGCAGGACACACTCGGGCCTTATGGCTGTCAAACAGCAGATCTGCCGACGTATTGAAGATTGAACCCCCGGCCATGGCTCCTCGGAAGCTGTACCGTGCGTGCTCGCAGCGGCATGGAGCGTCAGCGCGCAAGTTGATGATGCGTTGTACAGTGACAGGGCGACGCGAGACGCACTCGACGACGACTTCGGCCCGCATGCTGGGCTCAACTGGCTCACAGAGGCCATCACAGACTGCGGCAGGACCTGCCGCCGGCTCAAGAGATTTCTGTTCGACTTGCTCGACTTGCTTGCGGTCCTCTAGACTGCCCAGACAAAGTCCCACGTGTACATCCACGGCCGCAGCCGCAGTCGTCCGAGTCGCCCAATGCGGCGGCCAGCAGCCTGCAGGCCACCCACTAAGCCCCGGCACCGGCCTCCTGCCGCTGGCTCTAGCACATGTCAGCGGCACAACACCGCTGTCGTCGCCGCTGTCATCGCCCTCACGCTTCTACTCCACGACTTCTCTTCCTCGTCGTCCCGCCCGCCTGGGTTCCTCGCCTCTCGTCATACACCCGTCCTTGCATCGCCGTCAACGATTCGCCTCAAGCGCAGCCATGACTGCCCGAGTACTGGATGGCACCGCCATCGCCAAGAGCATCCGTGAGAGAATCGGTGCCGAGATTGTCGAGAAGCAAAAGCTCAACCCCCGCTACAAGCCCTCTCTGAAGATTATCCAAGGTACGCCCGCATCCTGCAGTCTTCAGTCTTCAATCTCCCAGACGCTTGCTGCTGCCCCTGCATTTCTCTTCGTAATTGGACATTGCAAACTGGTACTGACTCTGCATTCGACAGTTGGCGACCGCTCAGACTCTTGTTCGTCCCATTTCGCCCGATTTTTTCTTGACCCCTCCCCCGCCATCGTGGGCTTAAGCTAACCGGGCAATCCCGTGTCTGCAGCCACCTATGTGCGCATGAAGCTCAAGGCCGCCGCAGAGGTACGACTCTTCTTCATGTGCTTCTACATGTGCCGGGCAGGGTACATTGCTAACGCCTCATATACCTGTAGGCTGGCGTCGCTTGCGAACTCCTCCAATTCCCGGTCGATATTTCCGAGCCCGAGCTGCTGGATCAGATCCGTCGCCTCAACCACGATGCCACGGTAAATGGCATTTTAGTTCAACTGCCCCTTCCCGCCAACATCTCCGAGTACAGCATTACTTCTGCTGTGGCTGACGAAAAGGATGTCGACGGCTTCGGAACGAACAACATTGGCGAGTTGGCCAAGCGTGGCGGCGCTCCAATCTTCACGCCGTGCACTCCCAAGGGCGTCATGTACATGCTCAAGGAGGCAGGCGTCCAGATCGCTGGCAAGACCGCCGTTGTTCTCGGCCGAAGCAACATCGTTGGCGGACCCATCAGCTATCTCTTGCGTCATGCTGATGCCACCGTCATTGTCTGTCACTCCAAGACCCAGGGACTGGAAAACTACCTCAAGCACGCTGACATCGTCATTGCTGCCATTGGACAAGCTCAGTTTGTCAAGGCCGAATGGTTGAAACAAGGCGCCGTTGTCATTGATGTCGGCACCAATTTCATCCCCGACGCCTCCAAGAAGAGTGGCCAGCGCATGGTCGGCGATGTTGACTTCGAGGGTGCCTCCAAAGTTGCCTCCGTCATTACCCCCGTCCCCGGCGGCGTGGGTCCCATGACTGTTGCCATGCTTCTGCAAAATGTTGTCGAGGCCACCAATCTCTTCTTTGAGAAGGAGAAGATCAGAAAGACGATTCCTCTCCCGCTCAAGTTGAAGACCCCTGTACCGTCCGACATCGCCATTTCTCGAGACCAGAAACCCAAGCAAATCACTCGAATTGCCGCCGAGGTTGGCATTGCTCCACATGAGCTGGAACCCTACGGTGCCTACAAGGCCAAAGTTGACCTTGATCTGCTGAAGCGCCTCGACCATCGCAGGAACGGTCGTTACGTCGTGGTTACTGGTATCACGCCCACACCTTTGGGAGAGGGCAAATCCACCACCACCATGGGCCTTGCCCAGGCTCTCGGAGCTCACGTGGGACGGCTAACGTTTGCCAATGTCCGGCAACCTAGCCAGGGCCCGACCTTTGGCATCAAGGGTGGCGCTGCAGGCGGTGGCTACAGCCAAGTGATTCCCATGGATGAGTTCAACTTGCACTTGACTGGTGATATTCACGCCATTACTGCTGCCAATAACCTTTTGGCTGCGGCTATTGAAACTCGCATGTTCCACGAAAACACCCAGAAGGATGGACCTCTCTATAGACGACTTGTGCCCGCCAAGAATGGAGTGCGAAAGTTTGCTCCCGTCATGTTCCGCCGCTTGAAAAAGCTGGGCATTGACAAGACCGACCCTGATGCCCTCAGCGAGGAGGAAATCAGACGATTTGCCCGCCTTGATATTGACCCCGACACCATTACCTGGAGACGTGTGCTAGACGTCAACGACCGCCATCTGCGAGGTGTCACTGTTGGCACTGCCCCAACTGAGAAGGGCCAGTCCCGTGAAACTGGCTTCGACATCTCCGTTGCCAGTGAGTGTATGGCTATTCTCGCCTTGAGCACGAGCTTGGCAGACATGCGCGAGCGCCTGGGACGCATGGTTGTTGCTACTTCCCGCAGCGGTGACCCCGTCACCTGTGATGATATTGGTGCTGGCGGTGCTTTGACGGCCTTGATGAAGGATGCCATTAAGCCCAATCTTATGCAGACCCTGGAGGGAACACCTGTGTTTGTCCACGCTGGCCCGTTCGCCAATATCAGTATTGGACAGAGCTCCATCATCGCCGACAAGCTCGCATTGAAGTTGGCCGGTACCGAGCCGGACGAGAACCACAGCGAATCAGCTGGATTCGTCGTCACTGAAGCTGGCTTTGACTTCACCATGGGCGGTGAGCGCTTCTTCAACATCAAGTGCCGCACTTCCGGCCTTGTCCCCGACGTAGTCGTCGTCGTAGCTACCGTTCGCGCCCTCAAGGTCCACGGCGGCGGCCCCCCCATTGCTCCCGGCGCTCCCCTAGACGCCGTCTACACGCAGGAAAATGTAGAAATTCTGCGCGCTGGCTGTGTCAACCTCAAGAAACATATCAGCAACGCCAGGTCGTTTGGTATTCCCGTAGTTGTCGCCATCAACAAGTTTGCCACCGACACGGATGCTGAGATTGCAGTTGTTCGCGAGGAGGCCTTGTCTGCTGGTGCTGAAGATGCTATCCTGGCCGACCACTGGGCTCAAGGTGGCCAAGGAGCCGTTGACCTGGCCAAGGGCGTTATCGCCGCTTGCGAGAAACCCAAGAACCTCACTCTTACCTACGGACTGGACGGCACTATCCAGGAACGTATCGAGGCTATTGGGCAGAAAATGTA